GACCAGATAATTCGGGGCCAGTTGGCGCTACCCTATCACTTGTTACGTGATATATCGACTATCTACGATATTGACGGCTCAGCAGTTGATGAAGTTCAGGACGCTATGGATGAACGGCTGTACATTGATGTTCTTGACCGCTCCGGACTCTACCGTCACAACGCTGTTATTGTACCTACCGCTGAAGGAGACAGGGGATTGATAGACTCCGGCCGCGATTTAACAATGAGCGACGGTCTCACCGTAAGACAATACGAAGAGGCTCGCGCCGCTGGTACCGTTGAACTTTTGTTCCCCAATAAAAAGGTGCGACGAGGCGTGGGCCACAAAACAGCGGACATAAAAGCAACTGTTCCCCCTGTGCCGACCGATCTTGGTCCCGCAGAAGAACAGCCCGCTGCTCTTGCTTGTCAAGCCATGGGATGGAAGCTGAAGGTCGGGGTCTCTCCAACAGCATCTCTGAACCTAGATCCTATTGCCAAAGCTTCAGGGTCGCCAACTCTGGGCGCCGTAATGGACGAGGGGGTCAAACAATATCAACGCATGCTTCCTCTTACACCGAAAGATATGCGCTTGATCAACTGGCATTTTGCAAACCTGGAATACGCGAACGCTACCAATATTGGCAAACTCAGTCTCTCTGGCTGGGACCAAGATCTGGGCAACGAATTCGAAGGCGAGCATTCACAAGTCATAGGCGGCTATCAACAGGTACCCTATGGCTTGTGGTCGTTGCCCACGAAACTTGACGTTCGAACGAACAAGATCGTGAGCAAGATTGCCTATGACTCGACGGGCTCGGGGAAGCGGAAAACTGTGGTTCATTGTGAAGACGGCGAATCGTTCGTTGCAGATAGAGTGGTCTTCACGGGGTCACTTGGTGTCTTGAAGCATGACTCTATAGAATTCTCGCCGCCTCTCCCTGATTGGAAGCGTGGAGCTATAGAAAGGCTCGGGTTCGGGGTCATGAACAAAGTGATACTCGTATTCGAGGAGCCCTTCTGGGATACCGAGAGAGACATGTTTGGGCTGCTACGGGAACCCAAGAATCGAGACAGCATGGTGCAGGAGGACTATGCTGCCAATCGAGGTCGATTCTATCTCTTCTGGAACTGCATGAAAACAACAGGCCTCCCAGTTCTGATCGCTCTGATGGCTGGCGACGCAGCCCATCAGGCGGAGTACACACCTGACGGGGAGATCATTGCAGAGGTGACGAGTCAGCTTCGGAATGTCTTCAAGCACGTTGCAGTACCTGATCCGTTAGAGACCATCATCACGCGGTGGGCAACTGACAGATTCACTCGAGGAAGCTACTCCTACGTAGCTGCGCAGGCGCTGCCGGGCGACTATGACCTGATGGCGAAGCCGATTGGCAACCTACACTTCGCAGGAGAGGCCACATGCGGCACCCACCCGGCCACCGTCCACGGCGCCTATCTCTCCGGTCTGCGAGCTGCGTCAGAGATCATAGAGTCCGTCCTTGGACCTATCGAGATCCCGAACCCCTTAGTTCCCGAAAAGGGCAAGTCAATCGAACTGGGCACACCAGTAGCAACGGGGCAAAAGAAGAAGGAACCACATTTCTCAAACGGTTTCCCCGCCCCCGTTTCCACATCCGCACATCCCACCGACGCATCAGCGCCCGCACGATCAAACAACTCCTTCTCCGGCGACACGGCTCTCCGACAAGCCTACGAACAAGCCATGTGGGCAGCCATCCATGCCGAGCTCGGCCCGCCCGAACCCCGGCCGGCGCGAACAGGCCTCAACCCCTTTCTCCTCTACCAGAAGGACTACTGGGGTAAAGCCCGCGCGCAATGCGACGAAGCCAAACAAGCCACGACCAAGGACCCGAATGCCAAAGCGGCGCGCGACGAAATCCGCCAGGCGTTGGGCCTCATGTGGCGGCAAGCCAGCGAAGAGGAAAAACGGCCGTATATCGAACAGACGGAGGTCAACCGGCAGACCAACACGGAGATCTGGGATCGATGGAAGCAGAATACGAAGGAGTGGGAAAGGAAGTCGCTCGAGGTCAAGAAGCGCTGGTGCGCGGCCAATCCGTTCGAGACGTGGCAGCCGCCGGCGAAGAGGTGATGCTTAGACTCACGTATGAGTACAGTTTATCTTTTTATGTCAGGGGCACACAGGTACGAAGGGGCTGGCGCTGGAAATGTGCTGAATATGGTATTGTTCTTTCTACTAATACTGAGACAGCGTGTTCGCTATGTAACGACAGTAAACTCCCAGACTGCAGACAGGATTGATACTAGTCAGCTTTGCTCAAGCAGTATTATATTGATATCAACTGGGGTTACCCCATGCACAAGACGTAGCGAAATCTAAGTCTGAATTCCAGCTTTGGGATTAACTCTATGTCTATTCTATTCGTAGAAGTAGATTCCCATAAACGATCTCATCTCTGTCGGGAGTGAGTTCCCGCAGATACGGGACAAAAAAAAGTCATTAGAAAAATTGCAATAAACGCTGAAGTCTAGTGGAAAGAACCAACGCGCCCATGAGGGTCATAGAAAGAGGATATATCAAGATGATATGTCGAGACAGACGGACAGGGAGAGTGCACAAGGCGAGGCGAAGCGGCGTGGAGAAGGCGAGAAGGATGCAATGCCGGGATAGCTAAGATGTGTTTCATTTAGAGAAGAGGGTTCGACTTGTATTCTGCAACGGCGCCCTTAGGGTCCTTCTTGACTTCACCGTTGACCTCCTGAGCGGCGGGCTGGACGGTGGAGTTATCGGCGGACTTCTGAGCGGATACGGCGACGGGCTCTTCCTCGGGGCCCTCGGCTTCAGCAATGAACTTTTCGGCCTCGAGAGCAGCAATACAACCGGATCCTGATGAAGGCAGTTAGTATTACAATCAAGCAAAAACTCGAAATCGGTGGTCACAAACCTGCACTGGTGATAGCCTGGCGGTAACGCTTGTCCTGCACATCACCACAAGCAAACACACCCTCGCGGCTGGTATAGCTGGTGCCTGGCTTGGTGATGATGTATCCATCCTCATCGAGGTCGATCTGACCCTTAACGAGGGCGGTGGCGGGGTCGTGACCAACAGCATAGAAGAGACCGTTGGCGTCGACAACCTCCTCCTCGCCGGTAACGGTGTTCTTGACTCTCAAGTGAGTCATCAGGCCGTTGGGCTTCTTCTCTCCCAGCACCTCAGTGGCAACGGTGTTGAAGCGAACGGTCACCTTGGGGTGAGCCAGCAGACGGTTGGCCATCGCCTTGCTGGCGCGAAGTTTGTCACGACGGACAAGCACGGTGACGCTGCTGCCGTACTTGGCCAGGAACATGGCCTCTTCGGCAGCCGAGTCACCCCCACCGATCACGTACAGGGGCTTGTTGCGGAAAATAGGCACCGCACCATCACAGACGGCGCAGGCGCTGATTCCATTCTGCCAGTAGGTCTCTTCGCCGGGCAAGTTGAGACGACGAGCATTGGCGCCGGTAGCAATGATGACGGCATCCGCAGTACAAGCGGGCTCCTTATCAGGGCCATCGTTCCATTCTGTCCATAGCTTGAAAGGTTTCGAGGACAGATCGACTCTGGAGATAGTCTCAGTGATCACCTCTGTGCCGAACCGGATGGACTGCTTGCGCATGTTCTCCATGAGCTCCGCGCCACCAATGCCATCGGGGAACCCGGGGAAGTTCTCGATGTCGGTGGTAGTGGTGAGCTGGCCGCCAGCGGCCGTTCCATTGGCCAGCATACCCTCATAGAGAACAGGTTTGAGTTCCGCTCTCGAAAGATAGATAGCTGCGGTGTGGGCAGCGGGGCCGGAGCCGATAACTATTAAAGGACACCACGTCAGCAAAGGGTACAACCAACAAAGCAGACAATCAAAGATCTTTGTGCTGCAGGAGGGGTAGATACTTACTGACAACTTTCGTGTGCACCATTCTGGACGTGGAGGTTGAATTGACGCGCAACGGCGTCGATAGCGAATTTGATAGAACCGAGGTAGGCGGAGAGGACTTTTGATGTAATGAGGACGCAGCAGCGGCAGTCAGTCCAAGAGAGGATCGCAGAGAAGAGGAAATCCGACGAAAGGCGAAGGAAAACAGTTTGACGGTTTTTGTGAGGACTAAAGGGAAAAGAGTTTATCGGGGAAAGGGGGGCAAAAAAGGAGGTCTTAGTCAACTCAAAATCAGGAATTGATCGGGGGGTGAAGAAAGAGAACGAAGAATAAATGGCGAAAGGAAGAAGAGGGGCTCAAGTACGTATCAAAATCTGGTCTGGTTCGGTATTAGTGATGGTGATTCTCATGCGGTTGGTTATGCAGTTCTTTTATGGTGGGGATGGAACAAAAAAGTGGATCGACGGATTTGATTGATAATGAATGATGTGATCCAAGCACGAACGGCAAAGGATGAGATCAGTTAATAACACAGGAATACGTACTTAACTGAGAGAAGCTTGCTTTCGGTAATTACTCGCAAGACACTTGTTGATAATCTCTCTCTCTCGGCGACCGAAATTCTGCCCTGCATGAGATCATCCAGAGCGTCGATTCTTAGGAATCAATCCCCGGCGAGACCCGTCACGTGCCCATGCTTAGCAAGCGATACTGGCCGAGACCTTTCTCGCCATCACAATCAACCACCATCAGGTATTGCAGGAAGAATACTGCTACAGCCTAAGAGGTACATGGCTGATGTATCGATCGACTATCTGATAACCGATTCCCATTTTCTGTCTCATCTTCTGTCTCACAAGGTCATTCGTGCACATACAGAGTTGCTAACTCGGCTTCTCGAAGCATCTGGATATCTGATCCGATCCACCTCATTACCTAAGCATGTCTTCATAACTGCATGGGTGATAACATGGAGCCTCGATTATCATCAAATGAAGACCTCCAAGACCTTGCGTGGGACAATCAATTATGTACAACATAACAAGTTTAGGGAGCACATGTCAAGCGTGAAAAATTCATAAGGCATTCAATCGTTAAGAATCATGAAAGGTCATCGTAAGTTCATACCAATCGTCCAAACCACTTCTTCTTCCGCTTCATAGTCTCCTCCGGCCAATCATTGACGGACCCTGGTACTGGTGCATGGGCTGGTGCATGCCCCATGTGGCCCATTTTCTCCGGCAGCCTCTCACCAGGCTCATCGAGATCACTTCCCGCATAGCCTTCTTCATAGTCAGGGTCATCGTCGTAATCAGTATCCTCCACATCACCAGGGACATCCTTGGCGAAGTCACGCTCTTTCTTACGCCCTACAGCCAACCATTTCTTCCAACCTTTGGCAACTGGGTTTGCTGGGGGATCGTATTCAGTGCCTTCATAACGCAGCATGGGCACAAGAAGCTTGTACGGCGTCGTGATACCTGATGGATCTTGTGGGTTGAGCTCCAGGTTGAGCGTGATAGCTAGACCCTTTTCGAGATTGACATATGCGCCTACACCGTCGTCGCCCCTTTTTGCAGCTTTCTTGGCTGCCTTCTGGCTCAAACTCGTAGGGCGGCGGTGGAAGGGACCCGGGCGAAATTCTGGTGCAGGAGCAGGGAAATAGCCGCCTTCGGCCTCTGCTGGAGGAAATGGTCCGTCCATACTCGTACTGCGACCAGGTGCATTTCCAAGGTTAAATTCTTTTGTCGGTGGAGGTCCACGCTGCGAGAGCCGTCGCAGCAAACCGCCCTGAGGTCTGTCACCTCGCCCTAAGGACAGAGTTCTCTGCAGTTTACTCGGACGCGGTTCCTCAGCCGGTGGAGGTCCACGCTGCGAGAGCTGTCGCAGCAAACCACCCTGAGGTCTGTCACCTCGCCCTAAGGACAGAGTTCTCTGCAGTATACCCGGACGCGGCTCCTCAGCCGGTGGAGGGGCCTCTTCGGATTCCGGCGAACCTGGAGGTGTGGAGCCTATCTTCAGTCAGAGAGATTGATATCTCGTAAGGACGGAATATCGGCTCACCGGGTTGATACTCTCGGATTGCGCACCAATTTCGGCGCGGAAGCAAGCGCTTGTTGTTACGCGACTTGTTGTTGACGTCGTGCGTGAAGATGGGGATCATGTCTTCATCTGTGTTCGTGTCCAAGTGGTGAACGTGGTTGCGCTTATTCAGCATGTCCGATACCATTTCGGTTTCTGGCATGTCTGCAATCGCAGACGATATGACATTCGGCATGTATCGGTAATCCTTGTCTTTGGGCAGGTTTAGTTTGGGATTGGAGTAGAATTGTCCAATGGCTGCCAGATGGACATCGCCGCTGGAGCGTCATGTTAGATTCCTGCCAACATTTACTGCCCAGGAGCAGATCCTCACCTCAAGATAGTCACCCGAACGGACTTTTCTGCTGCAAGGTCTTGGAGGTCCTCAAGCAGATAGGTGCGTTCGGCTTTGTGGTGTTTAGCCGTCCAGTGATCGTCGAATATCTCTACCTTGCTGCCGTTCTTGTTTACGAAGCCTCCGAGAAACCCGGCCTTCCCCAGCGATTTGCGACTATTGAGAATGTTTTTGAGCATTGCCTGTTTAAAATGTCAGAGAACCCATGTCACAGTGGGTTTACGGGGTACAGACCATTCTTGGATATGCTACGGGAACGCTCGAGAGCACTATCAGATGCTTGGTTTCTCCACGCACAATCTCCCGGTGGCATCGGTCCCAGATCAAATCACACGTCTGCTCGCTGAGTATCTCGTCACTCTGAGAGATTGGTCAGCATCTACGCTTCTCCTGTCCGCCAGGGAAGCACATTTTTCTTACCAGTCGCTCCGTCCTGCAATCCAACCCCAGAAAAGCTACTTCCTTGCCCATAGACATGAACACGTTTCGACTTCGCTGGTTGATATAGGGTCCCAGCTGCGCACCAAGCAGCCAGCTAGGCTCATCTGCTTCTGTCTCTTCAGTCAAGCTGTGATGCTGGAAGAGCAGATAGTACTTGAACGCTATTCTACCCAGTCCCGAAATCACTGGTGTAGCCATGAACTCGTCCGGATACGACCCGAAACCTTCAATGATGTCGTGATCGTTCCAGATGTTAACCGTTGGGATTTGGGAATTGGCCAGAGAGAAAAGGCCCTGTGAGAACCAAGCTGAGTAGTTCTCGAGGTAGAAGCTCTCTATCTCAGCTCGGAATTCTGGGTCAAATGGCATGTCGTACTTGTCAGTCAGGTTCTTTATCTTGATCCATTCTTGGAATCGGGGCGATTCCACCATGACTTTGTCGTTAAAGATCTGGTCACCGCCCCCAATCATGACGTGGAAAGGGCGAGTCTGATGCTCATTCAATACGTCGCGCCAGAGAGGGTCAGGACCGCAAAATTTGTTGGAATCAACTCCTAGGCTGAAACCATTGCAGCTATAGAACATAATGTTCATAGACTGCCCTCTGGCCGGTACCCAGAATCCCAGGGCCGGTCCGTGGTTCAAGCGGTATGCGATTCGTTGTTGCGTCTCGCCTAGTTCTATTTCAATGTTGAACCTCCAGAATGTCACATCTCGAGCCGAGTCGGCGTACAAGCGCGCTCCGGGAATTTCTTTGTATGCTCCTACTGTTTCTCCGTCCACTGAGTGAAGCCTGTTGGCGGGGATCGACTGCTTGACGCCGTCCCTGCTATAGTCTAGGTTACTGGGGGACATCTCGTAGACTCCATCGTCATTCTCCACGAATGACAAGTCCACTCCTTCCTCGGTATGGTCGATCGGCTTGACATAAAGCGGCCTCCCGTCCCTACCCAGCTTCATGAGACCTGCTGTGGGATCGACGTACTCCGGTGCAAGCTGAGCGCCACTGACTTCGACAGGTGGAGGCGGCAGGAGATCCATCGGCTGCGAAAATAATCTCAGGGTGGGCGGACACTCATAGGAAGAGCGTGAATCTTTGGTAACAATCATAATACTACCTCTCCAAGTCTCCTTGTCGAAAGGGCCATTTGGTCCGTCAATACTGACTCGTTTCAGTCCTGTATAGCGGAGCAGAGGGCCACATTTCAGGAAGATAGGTGGCTGGAAGCTCTTATTCTCTGCATGGATCCCATGGTTAGCGGACCAAAAAGGGAAGTAAAAGTGATTATGGGACAGGATGAATTAAGGAGTCCCCCAGTGCTGTTTAGAACCACTTACCCGTCAGCTTCTGAGCAGGTTTCTGATAAGCGCTCGGGAGAGCTCTGCTCTTCCTGCGATTACTGCCGCCACCTTCCCACCAAGCTTTGCTTCGATCAACGTCGAGAAGTTGGAAGTCGAAGTCCGAGGCACCCAGTCGAGCAACCGGTGCGTTCTTCCATTCCGAAAGTGGAGGAGGCGTTGGCGGTGGCACATTGAACGAAACAGTGTTTCTCTTGGGCTTTGTGTGGGGACCTGATTCGTCCTGGGAAAGATCGTTCAGTACAGCGTTATGTGTATTTGCGATTAGGTGTTCTGGTTGCTGGGAAGCTATGCCTTGTGCATAAGGGCGATTTCCTCCAAGCCCCCTCTGCGGCGGTCGACTCTGTTGGACCCGAGCACCAGTATAGGGTTGCGGGTGTGCCATCTGTGCCACACTTGGCATTGCATGATCTTTCTGTGATGGCCCAGGTACCGCAGAGAAATCTCTCCCATCTCGAGACGTGTTAGGATATCTCGTGGTGTTCAGGGCATGACCTCCGGGTCCGTTTGTCACCGACACGGATCGCCTGGGGACGCTACCGTGATTCAAAATTGGCCCCGCTAAGGGCTTTGAATTGCTAATCTTCGAGGCTTGCATCTCAGGAGCGACCGACAGGGCTGGTGGTCCTGGCTTTTGGGCGCTAGACTTTGCCTGTCCTGGAACTCCCTGCTCACGGGGAATCGTCGCTTCGTGCCCCCGGTGAACAGTGTTCTGGCCAATGCTCTGTTTGGTCTTCTGGCTTCGGTTCTCCTGCTCTCCTTGGCTGGCATCTCGCTGTGAGGCCAATTGCTGAGGCATCCTACTTCCAATTGTGCCTGCGGTTGAGTTGCTGTCTGCAGGCTGCGTGAGAGAGGCATTCCGATTCTCTGCTTCCATCTGTTGACGTGCCAACCTTTCTTTGAGCTTCATCTCGGCTTCCAAGACGCGCGCCCTTTTTTCCTCTTTGCTAATCCCACTCAATGTAACTTCGAGCTTCTGAAGAGGGGACCTATCTGGGGCGAACTCATGCTGCTTATTCGTTGAAGACCGTAACGTGCTAGATCGACTCAGCGGCGATATTTGGTTGACAGAGTCTACCGGCGACGTCGCTTTGGCGTCCTCCATCTGCCTCGCTGATCCCGAGGCAGCAGCTTCTGGGTTGGTCGGACGCCTCATAGGTGCTCCATTTCCATCAATGGAAGGAGGGGTGGATGTGAGATAATCTTCCGGTGGGATTATATTACCCTCTGGGCGGTTCTGAGCTCGTGCAGAAAATGAACTGGAAACCTGTCTTCTCTGTGTTGCAGTAGAATTGCTGCGATAAGGATGCGACGGGCCATGGGAGACCTGAGGATTTCTTGACATGCGCTTGTCATCTTGCAAATAGTCCCTATGGACAGTTCTAATATTATCATCATGATGCTGAGCTTCGTTGGGAGACATTTGAGGCGACATTGAGTCTCTATCGATAGGTCTTCGATAGGCTGCTGTAGCCATTTTGCGACTCGGTTAAAGGCAGGAGCAAGTCTTAAGAATCCGTACTCGAGAGCATGATAATCAAGTGGCTAATCATGAGTGACGATCGTCAGATTCGGTCCGAAGAGTTGTATCAGGGGGGTAGAACGAGTGCCAGTGCTACGAGAACTAAAGACATACCTCGAAAGTCAATTGCCTAAGATTGACCTCTCACTTTAGGATTGCAATCAGGACCGAGAAAATGAATGTGTTGGCAATGATACAGTAGATAGGCGAATCAGTCAAGAATGACCAAATCTATCCTGGACCTGTACGCCTATTCGAAATTAAGTCTGAGCCCCCAGGCTGTGGAATGGCAGGACAAGTTCGGTGCGGGTCGTGATAATGAAGTATACAGATGTGGAGTATACAATGAAAACAATGGGAAATCCTAATGCACTTTACGGAAGGAAGAGAAAAAGAATGAAAGGAAAAGAAGATGACGGAATGATTAAAGTCAAATATGATATGGAGTAATGCACAATAATGTTATTATGTCTCTTGCAAGATTGATCGTGCAGGGCCAGGCAGGTATGGACTTAGATTAAACGTGGTGGCTGGCAACTTGATTTAATCGCCCAGCCCTCTTTCTTTTCTACTGCTTCGCCGCGGGGCTGTTAAACAGTTGGACTACGACCTGGACTTGGACCTGCAGCAGAATCGACCCTGCCAGGCACCACCGATCTTCTATCAAGGGATCCTTGATCCTTTCACTGTGTCTCCAATATTGTCGATCATTGTTCGTGTCCGCAGCACTGCCTTATTTAAGAACGTGCTCAAGATATATCTAATGGGATTCGATAATCCGTATGCCACGCTGCTCTGACAGCTGCCCAATTTTATCCTAACAATAACGATTTTGAGGCAGTCGGAGTATATACGTCAGCTCAATGATGCAAATTGAACCTGAATGTGCCACGGAAAAAGATAGTCTGTGTTCCGCTATAGAAACTCAGGTTACTGCGACTAGGTTAGCTTGGGGGTTGAGTGTTGAGTGTTCTGGTGCCACAATTTTATAGAAGCATCCAAAGCATTCAAGCGTCAAGATGGCATCCCCATATCCAGGAATTCGATGCAGCAGAGCGACAGTGGAGTTAAGGCTGTCGGACACTTAGTCTTTGACAAGGATCGAAGCAATCGGAACGTGGTCTTTCGGACTGGTTAAGACTCGAATGAGTTGTCTATGGAAGTTTATGATAGATTATGGCCCAGACAGGTATTATTCTGCAGAATTAGTAGTATGCGGGTAGCTTTCTTTCATCCAAAATCAATAAGAATTAACACAATCTTTATTTTAGCCTTCTGGAAATCATTTTGGTGGTCGCATAACCGTCTCTTTGTCTAACTCTTCCTTAGCGGTGAAGCCCCTTACTGTCCAAGGTACGGAGTGTTATGGCCCCCAATAGAGAGGTAGATCAGCTTGAATAGGTGACACTTCGTAGTTAAAATAGACTCGAACTCCGCAACTACCATGTTTTCTCAGTCATCGACATTGACAAAGCTGGGGTTTTCATGAAGCAAGAACTGATATTCGAATTCTTCTTCTTCTTCTTCTTATCATTATTGTTACTTGTTAATAACTGACTTGGACTCGGAAGGTCCTCTCTCCGATACCTGATCCTTCAGAGTGGATTTTGTCGGCTTTCCGTTCATGGCAGACAATTCGTTGTCCTTTATTCCGCCTCACTGAGAGGACATTTTCCTTTTGTTCAATAAGGCGTCCTACACATCCAAGATGCGATTTCTGGGGAGTATAGCTCTAGTCTTGAGCTTCATCTCTACAACCTCTGCAAACGTCCAGCCTCGATCTTACGATACCCACGAGTTCTTCGCTCTCCACCTCGACGACCCCGCTTCGCCATCCCATGTCGCTCAGCTCCTGGGAGCTCGCCATGAAGGTCAAATCGGAGAACTCGCAAACCATCACACATTCTCGATACCTCGGGAGAGCAGCTCAGACTTAGATACGTTGCTGGAACGTGCACGTGCTGCGAGGAAGATTCGGCGGCGTTCGAGAGATGATGCCACGTCGCAAGAGCAGCACAATGATGCACTGGGTGGGATCCTCTGGTCACAGAAGCTGGTGCCCAAGAAGCGTTTAGTGAAGCGAGTACCACCGCCCGAGAAGCCTGTGAGAACGTTCGCGACCGGCAAAGAAGACCCAGTAGCTGCCCAGTCTCAGAAGCGAATCGCCTCCACGCTCGGGATTGCGGATCCCATCTTTAATGGACAGTGGCACTTGTTTAATACTGTACAGCTCGGTCATGATCTTAATGTTACTGGGGTATGGATGGAAGGTATAACTGGAAAAGGTGTCACTACGGCGGTGGTCGATGACGGATTGGATATGTACAGCAATGACCTTAAGCCGAACTACTTCCCCGAAGGCTCTTACGACTTCAACGACAACACTCCAGAACCTAGGCCACGACTTAGTGATGACAAGCATGGTACAAGATGCGCTGGTGAGATTGCAGCGGCGCGAAACGACGTTTGTGGAGTTGGCGTTGCATACGACAGCAGGGTTGCTGGGGTCCGGATTCTCTCCAAGGCTATCAACGACGCTGATGAGGCGACGGCCATCAACTTCGCCTATCAGGAAAACGATATTTTCTCGTGCTCTTGGGGTCCTCCCGATGATGGTGCGACCATGGAAGGTCCTGGCATTTTGATCAAGCGGGCCTTTGTCAATGGCGTCCAGAACGGTCGCGGCGGGAAGGGCTCGATATTCGTGTTTGCGGCTGGGAACGGTGCAAGCTTCGAGGATAATTGCAACTTCGACGGCTATACGAATAGCATTTACAGTATCACGGTGGGTGCTATTGACAGGGAAGGGAAACACCCTAGCTATTCCGAGTCTTGCTCTGCACAGTTAGTGGTCGCTTACAGTAGTGGCTCGGGCGACGCAATCCACACCACTGACGTTGGAACTGACAAATGTTACTCTTTTCATGGTGGGACATCGGCGGCAGGACCTTTGGCCGCGGGGACGGTAGCACTGGCTCTCAGCGCTCGTCCGGAGCTAACATGGCGCGATGCGCAATATCTCATGGTGGAAACAGCCGTCCCGATTCATGAAGACGACGGTAGCTGGCAGGTCACCAAGGCTGGAAGGAAGTTCAGTCATGACTGGGGCTATGGCAAAGTCGATGCGTACGCCCTGGTTCAGAAGGCCAAGACCTGGGAGCTGGTGAAGCCGCAAGCCTGGTTCCACTCCCCTTGGCTCCGTGTGCAGCACAAAGTCCCTCAAGGCGACCAGGGTCTAGCCAGTTCGTACGAGGTGACTGAGCAGATGATGAAGAACGCGAACATTGCCAGGTTGGAGCATGTTACTGTGACCATGAATGTCAATCATACACGCCGTGGTGATCTTAGCGTCGAGCTACGCAGTCCGGAAGGCATTGTCAGCCATCTGAGCACCACAAGAAAGTCGGATAATGAAAATGCGGGCTATGTCGACTGGACTTTCATGACTGTTGCTCATTGGTAAGGAGCCTTTCCACTACAGTTGGCGATTCCAGATTTCTAACCACTTTCTTTTCCCTGCAGGGGCGAGTCGGGCGTGGGAAGATGGACTGTAATTGTCAAAGATACCAATGTGAATGAGTTCACCGGAGAGTTCATTGATTGGCGACTGAATCTCTGGGGAGAGGCTATCGACGGCGCCAACCAAAAGCCTCATCCGCTTCCCGATGAGCATGACGATGATCACAGCATCGAGGATGCTATTGTGGCTACCACCAGTGTGGGAACAGGACCTACCAAGACCGGTGCCCCTGACTCCACGGACGACACCATCAATCGTCCTGTAAACGCAAAGCCCATCGAAACTCAGACACCATCACCCGCCGAAACGACCGCAACCGAACTAGCTCCACCCGCCGAGACCAGGCCGGCCGCCACGGCGACATCTTCTCCCACACCTACTGCTGCGTCCGACAGCTTCTTGCCCAGCTTCATGCCCACATTCGGGGCTTCCAAGAGGACGCAGATCTGGATCTATGCCGCCATCGGATCCATTATTGTGTTCTGTATTGGTCTGGGGATCTACTTCCAGGTCCAGCGACGCAAGCGCATTCTCAATAACCCCCGTGACGACTATGATTTCGAAATGATCGAGGACGAGGACGCGCTCCACGGCGGCAATGGGCGTCCGGGTCGCACTCAGCGCCGAGGTGGCGAGCTGTACAATGCCTTTGCAGGAGAAAGCGATGAGGAGGAGCCTTTGTTCAGCGACGAGGATGATGAGCCTTACAGAGACAGGGCTCTAAGTGAGGATCGTCTCCGCGACACCTCAAGCGATGACCGTAGTCTGAGACACGGTGACCACTGATGCATTTATCCTTTTGTTTACTGTGGAAAACCCTTTTTTGATTTTCCTGTTTCCGTACTTAGTAGGCGTTTCGATTCATCTCCAATGCGATTCAGCCTGGTGCCGAATGAAAGATCTGTATATAATCATCTCCTGAAGAACAAGAAGTCAGTCATGAACATAATTTGGAGATAATACATGGCTAGCAGTAATTATAAGATTGACGGTAGTTTTGGCAGATGGAGCAGTAATCATGGATAAACTCGACGGCTGGATGGCTGGATGCTCCTCTAGCCTTGGCCGATGACGCTGTGGTTCTCCAGCTCCCCAGCTGCTCCACCAAGCTGATTGATGGCTCCTCTGCAACTCTCCATCATCAGCTACCACCAACCAGCACCCGATAGGATATATTCCATATTTCTCGTTTGTCATCAGTCTCTCGATACCAATAGTTTCTCAGCTCTTTGTTCATTGGATCCATCAAACAGTGTCAGTGCCAGAACGCCGTAAGCCAAGACACCGCCGGACGGCAGCCCCTCGATGGATCAGCACGACGACTTTGATAGCGTCTCGTGGAGACAGGACCCGGAGAGCGACATCTCTCGGCCCACCACATCAGGGACAGACGCGGATGAGTCGCAAGAATACAATCGTGATACCAATGGCAAGCGGAGGATGAGTTCAGTTCACGAAGACCCGCCTCAGGCCGGGCCGCTGGCGGACGCCGTGGACCTGGCGGGTATCGGGGATGGGGTACTGGAATGTCGAGTCGATTCCCCTTTGAAAGAGAATGATGGAACTAAGGATGCGTACATTTCGTATCTCGTCACTACACATGTGGGTTACTTTTTCCTGATCAGTGGGCCTGTGCCCGTTTGCCGGCTGCCTGGCTGGAGATGCATGCGAATGAAGTATTGACAAGATGATAAAATGCAGACTGATTTCAGGTCTTTTCAGAAGCCGGACTTTGCTGTGCGGAGGCGATTTACCGATTTCTATTTTCTGTACAGGACGCTTTACCGGGAATATCCTGCCTGCGCGGTCCCGCCGCTGCCAGAGAAGCATAAGATGGAGTACGTGACGGGGGATCGGTTCGGGCCGGAGTTCACTTCTCGTCGCGCTTGGTCGTTACATCGGTTCTTGAAGCGCTTGACATTGCACCCTGTCCTTCGTCGAGCTCCGTTGCTCGCTATTTTCCTCGAATCGCCAGACTGGAATGCGCACATGCGACTACACTCTACCCGCACCTCGACGGGTAACTCGGATGGAAGCGGCACGGGGATATTCGACAACTTCACGGACACATTCGTCAATGCATTCACAAAGGTTCACAAGCCAGACCGTCGATTCATCGAGGTCAAGGAGAAGGCCGACAAGCTAGATGAGGATCTCAACCATGTTGAGAAGATCGTTGCCCGAGTAGCGCGTCGGGAGAGCGACCTCGAGACAGACTACAACGATCTTGCGACGCAATTCCGGAGACTTGTGCCTCTCGAGCCCGATGTCGAGGTCCCGCTACAAATCTTCGCGGCATCGGTGGAGGAGACCGCGAGGGGTTTCAAAACGCTCAAAGACCACACGGATCAGAACTATCTGGGCTCTCTACGGGATATGGAAGCATACATTGTCTCCGTCAAAGCCCTCCTCAAGACCCGCGAGCAGAAACAACTCGACTTTGAAGCGCTGGTCGATTATCGGAACAAAGCGGTGGCTGAGCGGGACTCGCTTGCCGCCAACCCATCTTCCTACTACGCCTCTAACCCTTTAACTTCATCGCCTGCCTCATTCATCCGCTCCAAGATGGAAGACATGCGTGGGGTAGACCACGAACAGTCGCGTCGGGAGCGTGTCCGGAAGCTGGAGCTGCGCATCGACGAGCTCACCCGGGAGGTGGAATCAGCCAAGACCACATCAGAGATGTTCGACGAGGAGGTTGTCCGCGAAGTAGCCGACTTTGAACGGATAAAGGCGGTCGAGTTCCGAGATACGCTAGGGGCTCTTGCTGAAAAGCACATCGACTTTTTCCAGGGCGTGATAAATACCTGGGAGAGATTCGTTGCTGAAATGGAAGGGGACCTCGATAACGATCCAGAGACGTCAGAACATGGTCGCGGAGAGGGCGTGGCAGCGTAGAGAGAAAGGGAACTGTGAGGGTACTGGACAGGTCGTTCATTACTTTGTTTACTTCGTTTCTTTACAAGGCAGCGATTCTGGTTACTTGATAATCACCGGAGGGCGTCTTTCCTTGTCTGTTCAATGACAGCTCTTGCGGCGGTATAGTTTGGTAGTCATCAGTCAGTCCCATGCCGTACCCTCAATCAATACATACACATCCAGGTCAAGTCTGCACGCTGGGTAGAAGAACTTTGATATCTTGAGGCTTAATACAACCCCATCTACCAGTCCCGCTTCGACTGAACCTCAGCGCATTCAAAGTCAATCGGGCTCGGATCGCCCTGAGGTTCTAAAATAGCTAGATCCAACGCCCTCGTCGTGCGTCTCCGAGCTCGCTCCTGCAACAACGTCAGTCGCATTGCTCCTTCTCCGGTAGGGATCACTCACCTCTCGGTATACCTGGTTCGGCGTCTTCTCTTTCGCTTTCTCGCCGGCCGTTAACTGAAGGTAGATCTCATGGTCGTATCCCACGGCACTGGGGTTTCCCGCATGGGGCTTGGAATGCGCGCCGGCAAAGTTGGCGCTGAGATGGAGGGTTGGCGGTGCTGAGGCTGTGACCGTAGTGCTGGATTTGGAGGTTGAAGTCGATGTTGACGTTGGCGTTGAAGTTGATGCCATTTGTTGACGGCAGAGGCGTAGTGGATGGTGTCACTACCTCTCTACTGGTGACCTTGATCTTAAGGCCAACTAACTGAATAGAATATTAAGGGAGACGCTAAGAGCAAAGAAGCAATCAACAAGCATAATTGAGTTAGTCGATTGAGGCCTCTAGTTTAACGAAGATCATCTGCCAGTTACAGTAGTCGTTCACGAGATATCGGCGTAATATACCTCTGGCGATGGACCTCATCTCAGCCACCTCCTACGAAGTACTTTTCCCTCTCGACGGGGGGACGGTATTACAGTGCATTGGCAATGCGTCTCGGGCATCTCAGTGGCGATGGGACAGCGTTTCAGTGCTTATTGTCTCCAGACTCTGCAATGATCATTCGGCTGCAGTGGGATTCGTATGAAGGAAGTTGTACGGGTTAGTCCGAAAGCAGACTTTGTCGTGGTGGCGGAGTTGCAGTCTGCCGCAGCACCGCGTCGTGCATTGGGTGTGGCAGTGAATTGATGAAGAAATGATAGGACAGTTAGAGATCATGTCTGGTTATAATGATGCCTATTCGTTGGGGGCTGGCCCATCCGGTGTCGACTAAGGTGATCTCCGCAGGCGGTTGTACTCTCGGATATCCCGATTGAGCATCTAGCATTGGACAGGGTACGGCTGCGAGGGGCTTGTTTGTGGTTGCAGCTGTGTGACAAAGCTATACCTCTCTATCAGTTACCGTTTTGGTCCTGAGGAATTTGCTTGATGGCATGATGCTCATCATCGTCTTATGCTAATAATACCGCATAGGGGAAGGTGTTTGTTGCGTTTGCATCTCCGTCGACCGGCTCAGCGCATCGCCAAAACGAGGTGATCTGATGATCAACTCTCAAACTGTACTCCGTACGCTTAAGCTCACCATGCGCCCTCTTTCTCGGTCGGCGCTCCGGCCCTATATCTGTCCCTCCTGTCGATCGGGGGCTATCACACGCAGGAGATTCGCGACTCAACCCTCCTCTGTACCCGAGATATATGATGTAGTCTGTGTCGGAGGTGGTCCTGCGGGCCTGGGGCTTTTGGCCGCTCTCAGTATGGCATCTTTTTTCGCACTCAATTCGCGCAATTGAGTTGATACTCGGTGATTAGCCGTACTAACCTCATACAGGAGCTTCTCCAGCCACTTCAAAACTCAAGGTCGCTCTTATTGAGACACAGGATCTAAGCAAAGCCCGCTCGTGGAAGCTCGAACCGCACCGGTTCTCCAACCGAGTCAGCAGTCTGACACCGTCATCTGTGTCGTTCCTCCAGAGAATTGGTGCGTGGGATCATGTCGATGCGAGTCGTGCTCAGGAGTACCAGGAGATGCAGGTATGGGACGGAGAGACAGGATCACGCATATCATTCGACTGGTCCATGGAAACATCTCCCTTTGAGGATCTCCCTACTGTAGCGACGATGACGGAGAATGCAAATCTGGTCCGCGGACTGCTATCACGTATCGAGGCATCAGGCGAAGAGAATCTATCCATCTTCTCAAATACAACGGTTTCGTCGATAGAGAATGGCGTTGACTACTCGAGTGGGCCGAATCTGTCGGCTTGGCCGGTTCTGTCACTCTCTCCTACTGGTCCCGCGGGACAATCCCAGGCGCCTTCGCGCATCGCTGCCAGGCTCTTGGTCGGTGCCGACGGTATCAACAGCCCCGTTCGTCGCTGGGCCGGCATCACGACGGATGGCTGGGACTACGATAGGCATGGCGTAGTAGCCACCCTATCTCTGTCGGATCCAGTTTCGCCTACATTTCCCATCGGCACCAGAACCGCCTACCAGCGTTTCCTGCCATCCTTAGGGGGTCCCGTTGCTCTCCTTCCTCTTCCCAACAACACCGTAACTCTAGTCTGGTCAACCACTGTCGACAATGCAGCCTACCTCAAGTCTCTGTCGCCTAGAGCCTTCATCGCCATGGTGAACGCTGCTTTCCGTCTTTCCATGGCCGATCTCAAGTACATGATAAACATGGAACGCCCAGCAAACCCGATCGCCGATGCTGAGAACCCCCACGAAGACGAACTCACATGGCGCCTGCAACATACCCCTCAGCCATCCCACGTTCCTCCTATGGTCAACGGAGTCCAAGAAGGCAGCGTGGCCTCCTTCCCGCTACGCTTTCGCCACGCATCGACCTACATCTCGCCCCGAGTAGCTCTGGTCGGCGACGCGGCCCACGTCATCCACCCACTGGCCGGACAGGGTCTCAACCTCGGTCTCGGGGACGTGGCTTCCCTCTCCAAGACGATCGAGTACGCCGTCAACCACGGGATGGATGTCGGTGATATCCTGACTCTGGAACGGTATGCCGCAGAGCGATACGCCACAAACGCCAAGATCGGCGCTGCTTGCGATGTCCTGCACAAGCTGTATAATGTGCCCGGACAGGGGCCGGTTACATGGGCTCGGAGTTTCGGTCTCGATGTCATTGACCGCTTACCGTTTGTCAAGAGTTTCTTGATGAAAAATGCGCAGGGCTGAGACTGCTTCGGCCTCGACGTCATGTCACCTCTCACTTCTATTATCCATTGTTATTCGCGTGTATGTTAGCTTTCCGACAGAGGCAGAGTCCTTTATACTCCACATGTACACTATGAGGGTGGGAACCCAAGTAAGCGGAATAAAAAGAAATGGAATGTTAATAAACTTTTGCATGTCATGCTCCGAATTCGACTGCAATCTAAACTGGGTATTTTGGAATCTCGCAGGTACTCATCGGTCCTGCTTCTCGTTTTCTACATGTCCTTTTTATGTGAATAGCCTGCTATATGCGACTTATCCCCGCTTAAACCCCCGCATCCTCGGTCTTGGGAGCTTCAACCTTGACGGCTTCGAGCTGTTGCGTTACGCCCGAAATATCTGCCTTCGCTGACGTCTGGCTTTGTTTCTTGGCCAGTCTGGCCTTGACCTCGTCGGTGAGGGCAGCCAGGTCGACCAGGACACCTTCCTTCTCCGGATGGCCTTCCTCGAGTCCCAGTTCCTTAATACGAACCTGGCCAGCGGCGAGTTCGTCCTCGCCCAGGATGACGGCGAAGGGGACGCCTCCTTGTTCGGCAGCCTTGAATTGTTGGGGGAGTTTGGGCTTGATCTTGTAGGAGAATTCGGCCTACACGGGAACGGTCAGCTGACTCTCTGCTTATATTGTTGTAGAGACAATCGCGAAGACGCTTACCTTGATTCCGGCGTTCCAGAGTTTCTGGCATACATCCATACGCTCCTTGAGCATACCGGTGAAGCCCTTTCCACCAAAGGCCATGACAAAGACATCGACTTCGCTGCTGCGCAGTGCCTCGGCGCTCTTTTCCCGCTCGAGTCTGGCCTTGGTGATGGAGAAGATACGGTCGACTCCGAATGAGACACCAACACAAGGAATCTGAGCCTTGGGCAAGAACATGCCAACGAGGTTGTCATAGCGGCCACCCGCGGCAACACTGCCAACACCTAGTGTGGGGTCGTTTGATCTGTCCTCATCTTCGAGGTTCCCGCTCTTGGACTTGTCCTTCTTTCCGGACTTCTGGAGCTTCTGTGCTTCGGGGGCCGAGGACGAGACGGCAGGTGCAGAACCTTCGGTAACAACCTCGTAAATGACACCTGTGTAGTAGTCCAATCCTCGCGCCAGAGACATGTCAAAGGAAATTTTGTCGAGACATCCGAAGGCTTCAAGGTAGTCCATGAGCAATCCCATCTCCTCCAGACCAGCCTTGGCCGACGCGTTCGCAGTTAAAGACTCGTCCTTCCATAGAGACTCGAGTAGATCCCGAGCGCCCTTGCCGGCCACATACTTCTCAATCCTGTCAGCCACCTCACCATCCAGCCCCTTCTCCTCGACCATTTCCTTCCGCACATCGGCCCAGGGCATTTTATCCAGCTTATCAACGGCGCTAGAGATAGGACGGATCTTCTCGGGCGGCACTCCGCAGACCTCGAAGACACCGTCCAGGATCTTCCGGTGGTTGACCTTGATAGTATAACGACCCTGCCATCCAAGCTCCTCAAACACTTCTGTCACGATCCGCAGAATCTCCGCATCGGGAACCATAGGATCAAAAGCACCGGCGATATCAAAATCACATTGGTAGAACTCGCGCATGCGACCCTTGCTCACAGCAGGCTGATCACGGCGATACACCTTGGCAATGTGGTAGCGTTTGATGCTGCGCACGTCAGGGTTCATGGCGAGCCAGCGGGCAAAGGGGACGGTCAGATCGTAGCGAAGGGAGCAGATCTCGCCACCCTGATCCTGAAGGTCGTAGATAAGCTTGGAATCCTCGCCATATTTTCCGGCCAGGATCTCACGCAGCTCGAAAACGGGTGTGTCGAGCGCCGTGCCGCCGTGACGCTTGAAGACATCGGCGATGGTCGAGAAGATCCGGTCGCGGAGGAGTGCATCGGACCCGGACCAGTCCTTTGTGCCCTTGGGCGTCTTGAGGTTGAAGGAATTCTTGTTATCCTTTGGCATCGTGTCTACCGGGCGCGAAGATCTGAGGGTGAGGGAAGAAGAGTGGCGGTAGTGGGGGATGGTGGGGTCGCTGGAAGAGAGAGTGAGGGTTGTTGGGCGGACGGCCGCTGCGCTGGGAAGGGCCCGACGGACAGGTACAACGACAATGGGATCAACAATTGCTTGTCGTGCAGAGCGCAAAAAGCCGGATTGAAATTTGAACTTCATCCAAGGGATTGGAAAGGTGAAGCAGAGCCGGCTGGTAGACAATATATCGATGACTCTCTATACTTCTCTGGCCAATCTGATGATCTGATGTTGTTTCTGACTCACTTCCTTACTTTTTCTGAAGAGTTGCTTGAAAGAGCAAGTTTCTCCGTGTCCGGCACTCAAACAGGGATTCAGGGCTTCCGCTTAGGGCAAGTCACGTGTGACTCTTTCTCTCCGATTCCTCTCTACGGAGTATAGACTAGCTATTGGTGTTTGGGACACTGCGCTCTGCTATGGTTCTTGAAAGAGCTTGTTCAGGACAAGATTGAGAGAAAAGCTTTGGACACTCAGCAGTCCGGGCAAAGAGACTGGGTTTCATGCAAGCCGAACCAATTACGGAGTAATTGCAGTGTACACTGCGCGGTAATGAACCAACACAGGGTGAATTTAGGCTATCAGCAGTTTCTACTCAATCTCAACTGAGGGCTGACTTATTCGTCCAAGATAATCTAGTTACTTCGCTCGAGGAGTTCTTCTAATGGCCCGTATTTACCCGTGGTGTACATCCCTGAAGGCATAGTGAGCATTGAAGCCCTCTCGGCCAGAGAACGGGGGTAAATCCTGGCTATCATGGAACAGGAAGATACAGACAGAAGCATCACAGAGAGTCGAATTCCACAACCCAGGTACATGTTCTGAAGGTTTGAGACTACCCCATAGTTTCCGTAAATCGAGCTTCAAGGAAGTGGGGTAGGTGTCCTCCGTACGATCGTCGATCTACATATCACGTCGTTGACAGAGCTCTGCTTATTTATCAGTCTTGCATGTCCATTTTGCCTGAAAGTACACATGAGCACAGTTATCTGCTGCAAGGTCAGCCGGTCGCACAATCAAAGCTGATCCTGAGCACTTGGAACGAGCATCATCCTGACGGCCTAGCCTACTCGTACTTGCTGTTGGATTCAGCATTATTATCCCTGTAGCTAAAGTACCTGGTTGAACATAAGTTCAAGACCAGTTTTGAAATGCATACCAAGATCTTCCCTGAGCCAGTAAATCCGAGTACACTGAGGTATTTGCGCCCCCACATAATTGTACTATGATTGGCTCAAAGTTTAACCCCACGCGAGGGGGTGGCACATGGCCCAGAAAACCAAATGAAAGCCAGCATTTTCATTCGTCATCTGCGATAACCCCTTCCCCAGGTCCCATTGGATGTCACTGCGGGTGTTTGGTTTGGGCCCAGTGCGTAGGACTCGGCCCCTGGTTGGAATTCTAAGTATTTCTAGATTTTTACCAGCCGCTGCTAACCTGCCACTCAAAGAAGCAGGTTATGGCTGGCTTGCAACCACTAAACTGCGGTCGGTCGCTCTTATTCTTTTAAGAATGCCCAGGATAATGATCTATGGTTATTATTCCAGGATGTTTTCTAGAACTTGTTACCGCCAAAACTACCTGACGACTTTGCAGCGTACCTTAGGTACCTAGACTGCTCCGTAGATTCAGCCTATTCAGGTACCTTTTGAGTTTCGTACAGCAGCAAAACATACCGCATTGTGCATTTCCTGTATTGCCTAGTACCACAGAACAGTTGAACTACGGGTTGATCGAACAGTGTGGGGTTGATAAAATTTGACGATTGGCTACATACATAACCGGAATTGTCTTATCATCCTTGTGTTTCCACGTGGTTCGGTGGCTGGATTACCTTGACACATACGATACAGTACCTTACATTTTCTCCCTCATTTTCCGAGATACTTAGGTACTGATAGCATATCGACATCAGTCCATATGCGGGGGAAGTTCCATAGAGACTATTTTTGGCGGTAATTCAACCTCTCAACAATAGGATAAAATATCGAATTTATGGCCTTAGGACTCAGGCCGTCAGCACCTTATTAATATGATAAGGAGTGCCAAGATGGCCGCTGAGCTCAGACCGGTCAGAATTCATGCTGTATTTCACCACAGGATTAGCAATCCAAGACTCAAAGTCAGCGATGTCCGCCTTGATCGCCGATATGGAGTAGAGAATTGCGAGTGCTCAGATTCCTGGAGTGCCAGCGAAAATGATCAGACCCTGAGAATTGACTTACGTATCTGTATCAGTGGAGGATCACTTGGCCTACGCCTCCAGGAACTCGATCCGCTGTGTGCAACCGTAACACCAGGCAAGGCCAGCTAAGCCATTGACATAAGCCTGAGCCATTGCCAATGGGCTGGCATCAAATCAGAATACCCTCCCTAACGAAGACCAGGTTTGAAGGTGGCTTTTCAAAGTACAGTGACCTATCTACGCCATGGCATAGGACTCTCCCTCTACTATTCTTAGTGATATGTTCAAGGTCAGACTGGTTTTCAAGAATGATATTGTCACTTCACCCCTACAATGTGGTAGACTTGGCCTGGATTTATCCGATTCTCCTGTATCGATCAGTTCAGGATGTACTCTGCAGTTGGACATCCAAGGCAGCAGTTCGGACACAGTGGGTCGACTGACTCGGAGATTCCGTAGCAATAGTGAGTTCCTTGTTCCTTGGTGATTGATGCTGAAGGAACTTATGGATTACTATATCCAGTTTTCCACATAACTATTACTGGAGTGGAAAGAATAGTCTGAGGCCGAGCTAACAAGTATCTACCTCCTCCAATCTGTAAGAAAGACAGAAGGATACCTTACAGTTTCGGGTAACCCGCTTAGTTACACATACCTACCTGTACTGTCAGTGGTATTATGATAACATACTCCGTTCCAGAGGTACTGACAAGAGTTCTCTCCATGGTGACAGCTTATGAAAAGGAACATTCGAAATTTAGAATAATGATTCTTGCCCATAAAGATCACAGCTTTATAATTATGCAGTCTCTAAAGAATCATACCTTCCATGTAGATAGACACTCAAAGAATCGTCCGACTCCAGCCCACCAACGACGAGAACATCCACCGACCCAAAACGGTTCATTCGCCCCCCAAACTCGCTCGGACCCGCCCTTTACTCTCTCCGTCATAACTAAACGACTAGCAGTAGACTAACTGGCAGTCTAGTATGTCTAGTAGTCCGGAGATTAATTATGGTTCGGTCTTATTAACTCCCGTTTGTATGGAGAGACGAAGGTCAAGTCAGTGCTTCGTCGACGTCTTCGTGCTGCTAGCCTCTGTTCTCAGATAACCACCTACCAGCTCGCTCTCTCTACCTCTCCCATCTTTCTATCCACTCTCTGATCTCTGTACTCATATCCTTCCTAACGAGTTCTTGCTGTCAATCTGTCGCCTCAATTCGTTTTTCTCACTCTTCACAACCTTCGTGGAAGCCTCTCTCAACCGCCGTATTCCTCTCAACATATGGGGTAGTCCCGCCTCTCTGTCTTCCGCTACCGTTCGACGTTCCACCGCGATATCTCTCTTCCTCTGATCAAAATTCCACGCCTTTTCCACTTCTCCAGGTTCCGTTGGTTGTCCGAAACTTAGACTGTTGATTGAGATACTCTGGAATTCCCCATATCTCCTGCCCTTCCTTGATCGCCAACTGTTTCTTGTTCGGTCACCACCCGCTTATTCTACCGCATCCTCATCCCTCGCGCGTTCCCTGCGACGAACTCCGCACACGCCCAGCGTCGCTGGCATCAGCTTCCTTTCCCGCGGAAGTCACCAGATGAAGCCGGATACTACGAATAGAGATACTTTGTGACAAACATGGGGTCGTTCCTGAGGAGTTTTCGCCATAATGGAGTATGTCCTTTTACCCGTCTCTGTGCCTACTGGTCTGGCTTTCTAGGCCGGAGGGCTTTCCTTTTGCCTGGCGCTATGTTTGTCTTCTACTTGTGAGCTTTAAGGAAGCTAGAGAAAGACGCTCTCTATCTTGATCTTCATTGTCTCTTCATTTCCTCGCCACTTTGGTCAATTGCTGATTTGTCACCTTGTTTACCTAGGGATCTACTGCGCCTTCGGTCGGAGCGGTCCCCGCCAAAAAAGAACCACAACCTCCCCCGATGACGCCTCTAGAAAAGAGGCTCCTGGACATGGGCCCGATTAGGGAGGATGGAAGCGACAAGTTTTATGGCATGGAGAATGTACGTTCGCTACCGTATTACCGGATTGCTGTTCTATTATGCGCTCAGTTCAATTTGCTGACATTTCGTCCTGCTTTAGTATGGAAATACCTGGTAAGTCATCTCGCGCATAACATTGAGTCTGCCCAGAAGGACAAGAAAGATTATCGAAAAAAACACCGCTGAAACTTTCATCTTGACAGTTACTGTAATTCGATATTGCAATGTCTTTACTACTCAGTTCCTTTTCGCGAAGCGGTAATCAACTACCCTACGAGGACGCCGATAGAGAGTTTGGAAGCAGCGTTAGCGAAGAGTCTCCGTTATCCAAACCCGAACGCGCAGCTGGAAGCGGAAGCTCAAGCTGAGAAGCAGAAAGCTGCCAATGCTCAGCGACCTGGCATGCCGCCAAATCCGCAGCAGAAGCCCGAGGACAAGGACTCGCCGGAATATAAGAAGAAGATGGCACTGCAGACCCTCCCTCTTCTGGAAACACAGAACAACGCCGCAAGCTACGGCATGTCTGAATCACTCTTTACATCTTTGAAGGACATTTTCGAGTCCGTCGTTGGGAGTCAGTCCCGCATCGGCATTATACGTCCGCAACAGTTCTTGGAGGTCCTCAGGCGAGACCACGAAATGTTCCGGACGGCCATGCATCAAGATGCGCATGAATTTTTGAACCTACTACTCAACGAAGTTGTCGCTAACGTCGAAGCCGAGGCTTCCAAACAGCCTCTTATGGAGAAAAGCCTTCCTGCGCCAGAGACTGCTGACTCCGTGGATCAGTCGTCGAGTACCGGCTCGAAGACCCCCAATACTACTCGTTGGGTTCACGAACTATTCGAAGGTCTCTTGACCTCAGAAACGCAGTGCCTTACATGCGAAAAGGTGTCTCAGCGTGACGAAGTGTTCTTGGACCTTTCCGTGGATTTGGAGCAACATTCATCGGTCACATCTTGCTTGAGGAAATTTTCCGCGGAGGAGATGCTCTGTGAACGAAATAAATTCCACTGTGACAACTGTGGTGGTCTTCAAGAGGCTGAAAAGAGGATGAAAATTAAACGCTTGCCGCGCATCCTAGCATTACACCTGAAACGGTTCAAATACACAGAGGACCTTCAGAGACTGCAGAAACTTTTTCATCGAGTGGTTTATCCATATCATCTCCGTCTGTTCAATACGACCGATGATGCCGAAGACCCCGATCGCCTCTATGAGTTGTATGCGGTTGTGGTGCATATTGGTGGTGGGCCATATCACGGACACTATGTTGCAATCATCAAGACTGAAGATCGAGGATGGCTACTTTTCGATGACGAGATGGTCGAGCCGGTGGACAAGAACTATGTCAAAAACTTTTTTGGCGATAAGCCGGGTCTAGCATGTGCTTATGTTCTTTTCTACCAGGAGACCACCCTTGAGGCTGTCTTGAAGGAACAGGAACAAGAAAATATGGACTCGAACCTGGCCGCTACCGACGCAAATGACACTATCTTGAAGCAGAACGGGTTCCCTCAGTCGCCTTTGGCCCACGTGCACAGCGCTTCTCAGATCCCTTCTCACGAAGATAACCTCCGACCGAATGGCCTCAGGCGAGCCCCTACCGCGCCTCAGCTTTCTACTCACCACGAGCATGGAGACCCCGAGAGCACTCCTTTCAGTCCGCTTTCTCCGCTTTCTCCGGTCCCTCCTGTCCCTCCCATTCCCGAGAGGGTCGCCACAGTTGCAACCCCACCAAAGAATGATGCGCTGGCCAAGAGGGAAGAAAAGGAACGAAAGGCGGCTGAGAAGGAAAAAGAAAAGGCTGAAAAGCTGCGCCGCAAGGAACAGGGAGCAAGAATGAAGGAAAACCAACGCCGTGAGGAAGCCGAGCTAAAAGCCGCTCTAGAAATGAGCAAAGCGTCCAAGGCCGAGGAAGACCGTCGCCTTAGCACTGAAAACGGCAAGGAGAAACAAGGTGGTGGTCTGAGCCGACTGAAACGGGGCAGCAAAAGCTTGAGCCACAGGCTCGGCAAGGACAAAGAGACGCGGAGTGTGTCGTCGGATCTCCCGCCTGTACCGATCCCGGAGCATTCAACCCTTTCGCAAAGTGGGCCGACATCAGAGCAGCAACAGCAACAACGACAACAATCACCTCCAAATCACGACCAGCCACCGAATTCACCCCAGCCCGGCAAGCCTACGATAAGAGAGGACGAGCAAGTGAACCACAAAGACTCCAAACATGAACGTACCGGACATGGAAAATGGAGAAGTTTCAGCCTCAGAAAGAAGTCGTTCAGCATTCTGTCATAGCGACCATTATCTCGAAGGGTCGACATTGATGCATTTCAACGGACTTGCATAGTTTTGCACATAATACCCGGATCTTTACCGTACATATATTCGCTTGGTGTATCATCATATTTTCCCCTTCGGTACCGGTATCTATGATCTGCGGCGAGATGACACCTACGGCACAGTTTGCTGTCAAAGTAGCTGCGATTTCATGAGACCGATCTTGTCTTATTTCTCTTTCCTTCGATGATCTTCACATTTCACGCATCTATGTGTCTATCTTCTTTTCTGTATGGTCGATGTTGTGATACCCATGCCCGGGTCACACAGTGGCATACATGAGGCGTTCAGCGGATTCTTTTTACTTTTTTTTTTTCTTTTCTTCAAGTGACACGGGAACGGTGTACAGGTAACATTTACTTCATGGTCATGAGATTTTCGTACGGCTTTCGAAAAGTCAAAGTGTTCTCTTGGGACATATGGGCTGTGGATCTACAAGGTGGATATTGTCTTCTGAGTCCGGCAGGTACTTTGTTACAGCACCTTCCTGGTCTTTCATTGCCATAGAACAGTCGAGAATTATCTGTTGCGGTGTTTTTAAGAGATCCATGTATCAATCAAAGTGCGCATATGCATATACGACTGAGAACACCCATGATGTTCGTGAACATACAATTGTCGCATGAATCTGGGACATGATAATTAAAGGACAACTTGCTAGGAATCAATCATATCATCTGTCATTCATGCAGTTTGCAACACGAGGTCTCGTAGTCGGACAATCACTGATGAGGTATAGGATACCTCATGGCTCACTCGTCCTATACGGGAAGCTCTAGCTTCTTGTGCCCATTCCGTTGTGTAGAGACAGGCCGATCATGCGTTTGAAGGACCCCCAAGAAAAGACTATGACCCAAGTCCTTCTATTAGGCGAAAACAAGGTTATGCAAGGGCGCCGTTCACCCGAGAATGAGCTCGTAGATGATTATCGTCGTATTGATCACGATTAGGGGTACTGCAACCAGGTCGACAACGGTTAGCTCAGCCCCATATAGCCCAACTTCCTGTCCAACGAAGCAACAAAACAGGCAGGAGTGAACGGCAGAATCGATAGTAGCTTACTTCGCATCACGGTCCGGACACTAGCGATCAGATTCACGGATTTGGCCTTGATACTTGTGCTGTCGTATGTCGCGCCGAAGGCAGGGTCTGTCTGTGTGCGGCCCCATCCAACTAGAGCAGCCGGTCAGTCTCAGTACCGGTATTGCGTTGGTGAAGCTTGAGCAGCGCGGTAAAACAAGACGTGGAGGAGGGATAGAGCAAAGGGGATAGGATAGCGTACTTCTTGCCAGGAATCGATCTTCAGAGAGGATGGCCACGGCGTTGATTAATAGACAGCATACTGGGATGGGGTTAGTTGACGGGGGCCATATGGGACGGAAGACGGTGCGCACCGTAGAAGAGTTTTCCGAGGCCGAAGAGAAACATCTTTGCGACTGCTCGATGTACTTGCGCGTGGTGAGAGGGAGGCGCGGAGGGTCGGAGTCGGACTGTGGTGATACAGGTCGGGGCGGAGATGACTTAGTTGGCTCGGAGGTCGATGTTCGCTGACGTGTGGGGAAGAAGGGGAGCTCTGCTGAGCCTGGAATAAATGACTTCACTTTGGCCTGCGGAACGGGGTTTATGATTAACCTTCTTGCTGCAGCACAATGGGGAGTAGTGTTGGTAGGAATGATCCCGATTGCTATGCTGAATATACAACTCAGTAATTGCTGATATCTTGTTTAGTGTTCCTGTTGTTGATCGTGTCGCTTCCGGTCCTTGTTTGTCTCCACCTGCTCGTTGCTCCCTACACCAAGGTCGAGGAGTCGTTCCATATACAGGCTGTACACGACATTCTGAAATATGGCATTCCTACGGGTGATGTCTCTGGTATCCTAGCACATTATGATCATTCGACATTTCCAGGAGCGGTGCCTCGGACCTTTGTCGGGGCTGTTGTTTTGTCCGGGCTGTCGCAGCCGTTCATCTGGTTGAACGAGAATATTGATAAGCAAACTCTCGGTATGCGTTTCCCAGCTTGCGCTTTGGTTAGCGAGTCTAGCAGCTGATGTTATTCTCATGTAGCTCGAGGTATCTTAGGCCTGCTCAATACCGTGTCGCTGATCTCATTCGCGCTCGGCGTACGGCGAGCGTTCGGAAAGACTACGGCTATTTGGTATCTGCTGTTCCAAGCAAGCCAGTTCCATATCATCTACTATGCGTCGAGGACTCTCTCCAACATGTTCGCCTTTGGCATTACTACATTGGCAATGCGAGCTCTTCTCCCGGAACCTGTAGCTCCCGCTGTCTATAGGAAGAGATGCCGAGTGGGGTTGTTCCTGTTGACGATAGCTGGCATCATTTTCCGGTCCGAGTTGGCCCTATTGCTGGCTGCGCATACGCTGTTTCTCCTTGCTACGGGTCGAATCCGAATCGTACAGGAGATCATCCCGGCCGGAGCTCTGGGACTTGTGGTTGGACTGGCCATCACCGTGCCGGTGGATTCGTTCTTCTGGCAGCAATTCCCGTTGTGGCCAGAGCTCGCTGCATTCAAGTTCAATGTTATCGCAGGGCAAGCCTCCGCATGGGGAACGCACCCGTGGCACTTTTATTTCAGCAGCGCCATCCCGCGCCTGCTGCTGAACCCCTTGACCTATCTCCTCGCACTCCCATTCGCCCTCACGCATCCATCCACCCGCTCTTCCGCAGCGTACATCATTATCCCCTCCCTTGTCTTTGTCGCCATCTACAGCGCTCAGCTGCACAAGGAATGGCGTTTCATCGCATACACAATCCCACCCTTAACAGCCGCCGCTGCCCAAGGCGCTGCCTACATCTGGACGCACCGCGCAAAATCTATCATCTACCGTTTGCTCTCCCTCGCCCTAATCGCCTCAACAGCCGCTTCATTCTTCCTCTCGAATTTCGTCCTCCTGCCAGCCTCATCGGCAAACTATCCCGGCGCTCGCGCGCTCAACACCCTCCACAGCCACGCCAACAACACGAAACCCGTCATCAACGTCTACCTCGGCAACCTCGCCTGCCAGACAGGCGTCACCAGATTCCTGGAGATGCCTCCCCCCCAGATCCCCGTGGAAATGGCCCAAAACAGCGAGCTCGCCGTCCTCGAGAGCGCGGGCTCAGGTCCAGGTTCAGGTTCAGTCTGGCGATACGACAAGACGGAAGATGAGACCGCCAAGGCCTTCCCTCCCTTCTGGAAACGGTTCGACTACGTGCTCATTGAGCCGAGCGAGGAGAAGAAAGTCCGGAGGGCATCGGGCCGGCCGCATAGCTGGGAGGAGGTCGAGGTGATCCATGGATTCGCGGGGCTGAGGGTCTTGCGTCCTGGTGATGAGGCTACTGGGCAGATGGAGGAGCGGGTGTTTAGCAGCGTGCTTGGTCCCGAGGGTGCTCGGTACTGGACGATGGTTAGGGATTATGCTCGGAAACATGTCACGCGCGGGTGGTGGGCGGAGTTGAGGATGGAGCCTAAGATCAAGATCCTGCAGCGTATTAGGTGATACTGTTATGTTTGTTCTCTAATAGATCTTGTTGGATAGGTCAATAACGGAAGTACCAGAAAAGTACACCAGAATCAAATTATTGGATATCACTGTATGCATATGTCACCATAAGGATAAATCGCCGTCTTATGACCATTATTACAAGCGTTCTAAGCAGGCCCGGGTATAGAGCGAAAATCAATCCTCACGGCTTTCCAGCCGGTCCAGTCTCTTTTCCAAGTCGCGGACCCATGGCTCGACTAACTCGATGTTGCTCTTCATTGCTGCCTCGCTCTGTCCCATCTTCTCCTCGACCACCTTCAACCCTTCACGCCATTGCTCAATCTCCCGCGTCATCTCCGCATGTCTCTTCTCGAGCTCATTGAGTGAATCCGCTGCCTGCGCGGCCCCCGCGTGGATGGCACGGAGGGAACGTAACCGCTCGAGCACGCTGGGTAGGATAGGATGAAGGGACTGGATAGTAGGGAGGGTAGCGTAGAGGGCTTGGATCTTCGTGGCTTGTTCGTCACGCTGAGTAGCTGCTTGGTCGATTTCGGTGGCCGACCCGGATGACACCGACATGTCGGAGGTCTGCTCGATCGTGGAGGTCGCGATACGGGCGTTCTGAGCGGCTTTGGCGGCGTCAACCGCACGTTTCCGCGCCGAAGCGAGTGCCTCGGTATCCGCGGTCAGTCTTCGTACCCGGCTTGATAGGGCCTCGAGGTGGGTGGTTGTGAATGTTGTCGATGGTGGAGCTGACCCAGTAGTTGGTACGGCTGATGCCGGAGTGGGACCGGCAAGCATATTCGTAAGTGTGGATAGTCGGGAAGTGAGGTGGTCCAGGGCTGGAAGGACGGGCTGGAGTGCCGGCTCGGAAATGCCGTCAGAAACAAAAGGATTGGAAGAGCTGGAGATGCCCATGGCGGATTCAATCAATGCTAGCCGGCCGTCAAAGGCTGCAGCATGTGCCAGAACGCCAGCGGAAGCCGGAGTCACTGCATCTTCTGTCGCAATCGGCTCGTCAGTTCCCTTGGATTCGCCTGGAATGCCTTGGGAAGAAGTGGACACAAGCTTCTGGGACAACGCTGCGGCAGCGGAGTGCGACCCTGACGCATTTCGAGAAGATCCATGAAGGTTGTCCAGCGCCCGGCTCAGTTCCAGCACACCGTCGTCTACCGCTTCGACAGGCTCCTCGGTGGATTCCGCTGTTGTTTGTCGTGAGGCCATCTCATCCTTCAACTCCTCAACTTCCCTGCGCAGGCGGGCCAGCTTCCTCTCGAAGCTTTCCTCCTCCGTGTCGCTGGCATCACCCACTTCTTCTATCCTATCAGGACCTCTTCGTCGTCGACGGCTTTTGCTTCTGTATGATTTTCGTTTCAGGGCAATGCTATCGGAGAAATTGACATCGCGGGCGTCTACAGTAGCCCCCAGGAAATGAGCACGCGCGTCGTCGACATCGACTCCGTGTCGGTCAATATCGGAGTTTGAGCCAGCGTCATCATCCGCGTCGGAGGCCGTGCGAATCGTTGCAGTCTTCAAGTTTTTGTATGTTAGATGGTTGGTTCATGCAATGTATGACTTTGCTTTCAATTGGTAAACTAACGGGAAGTGTGGATGCCTCGTCGGTCAGATCTGGGGTTTCATAGATATCGGGGGCTGGATCCTAACGAGACACGCATTGTTAATGAGGCCATGGACGTTGACACAAGTGTAGTGAGACTGGACAACTCACTAGGTCAGGAAGGCCAGCATATTTCTTGTTAAATGACATGCCGCAAGCTTGCAATGGCAATCTGCCTATTGTACTAATCTGAATAGATTATGATGTTATTGTTGTTAACCCTGAGATTACTTAGTTTTGCGTGTATATTTACTCCGGCTTTCGATACTTCCGCCTTGGCACGTGAAAGGGGTATCCACCCCTTGCGGCCTGAACTTTCAGGTACTATCAAGAATAACACCCTACGGAGTATTGATTCCACACTTTCATATGATAGTGGTTACTGCGTCATACCAAAATTAGAGAGGTAGAACAGCACAGGATATTTGCATCGGGCATGGGATCCGAGATGGGCTATAATTAACGATCAAATCCAGAGGCTGAAGTTGCTGCACTCTACACATGGCATCCAATGTCAACAAATAGTAATTCAGGTACCATGTAATCGCGACGAGGCTAACAGTAACCAACCCCGCCACTGTCACTGGATCAATGAGACGACAGGTTCATACCAACAGTCTGTGCAGTCTGCGCCAGTGATAATCATGGGCAAGACAGAATGGAATCGTTGCAGTAGTACGGAGTAGTATGGATGTCAGTCTTGCACGTGTCAGCCTCGGTGATGAGCGGGGGAAGGAGCGAGACGGGAAGGGTTCCTGAACGGGGAGTTGTGGAGAGGTTGCCCAGACAGGCACATGAAAGTCACTGTGACCACTGTCCCCCCGGACAGCCTTATTTTAATCCCCATTTCTCTCCCTCTTCCAAGTGTCAAAAGATCTCATTCTTCCCTTCCCTCGATATCTGCAGTCGCTTCGAATCCATCCCTATCCTATCATCTGTCATATACTACCCCTCATCATCCATCATGGCCGCCCCCGCAGACGTCACTATCAAGAACCTCAATGGAGAGTGGACGATGGTATGGGTTGTGCTCAAGTTCCATTTCGCATTTTGCTGATCATAGATGCTCAATCTAGGAGAAAAACATCTCTGACCCCTCCGACCCTATTCTCGCATTTGTATGTCATGAAGCCATATTCCCCGGTCTTTTGAGCTTCATTGCATAACCTATCTCTGTTCGCTTCATTGTCATTCCATGCTTACTGATATCCTCGTTCAGCAAGGCGTTAGCTGGGTCACTCGCAAAGCTATCTCATACGCCACTGTCACCCTAATTGTCAAGGAGTATGCCGACTCGGAAGATGCGAAGCTCATGCACATCGATATCGATCAGGTCTTGACAGGAGGTCTCAAGGGCACTAGCGAGAAGCGCCACACCGATTGGGCGGAGCGCGAGCACAAGGACCACATTTTTGGCACCCTCAAGGGACGGTCGCGGCTGATCCGCGGCTCCAAGGGCGATGATGGCAAAGTCCGGCCTGCCGTCGATATCAACACCAAGATCGATGACCCCAAAGTGAAGCAGTTCCTGCGGGGCGAAATCCTTATAGATGGTAGCCCGTGCGAGGGTTTTCTCGTGGACAATGAGGGTGAGGAGTATGGTGAAGGCGAAGGTCTCTTCCTGCAGAGCTTCGTCGTTAACCAGGACGATGGAGCTGGCTGGACCGCAGAACAGGTTCGTATAATTGACAATTTGCCGGAGGTCGGCGACAGATACTAACCTTCGTATAGATCTGGGGCTTTGAGACAATCAACGGACAGCGTTACCACACTCGCCGTGTGGTTGTCGCCAAGGATGGCGACTACAAGATGGCTCGTCTTGCTTATACCTATGTCAAGAGGCTGGACGCGTAAAGCTTGTCCTCTTCACTAAGTCATGTATGATAGCATCATCGGATAGGTGCTGACGGAAGACCCTATCTGCGGGAAAGGAGGACTTGTTGTGTTGCTCGCTCTTGAGCTATGAATATCACGTTATGTGCAGCGGCCTTTGGTCAAACCCCCGATTCTATTGACCTATTGTTAGTTATAGAATGGACTATGTCTCCATAGCCCCATGCTCCGCACCCATGTAGTTTTCGACTGTTGTGGTTCTGTCCAACCCGATTTCATGAATTGCTTAAGTCTCGGGCACCTGGCGTGCACATCAAAGGCAGGTGACGAAAGAAAGAATAGGCGCAGATATCTACGCGTAGATAGAGGTTAAATTGACCTTGGCCTCTTGCAGCCGACACATTTAATTTCCCTTCAGCCAATCAAAACCGCCTGCCGCAGCCTCTTATGGTGTGCAGCGACTAGGTAGATAGGTAGATAGAGTTATCTTACCTTACCTACAATAGAGAGGTATATGGAGTACCAAAATACTACGCAACGATAATCGTGCAGCTGACTTCGTTGACGCATGATCTCATAGCCAAAGCTCAGTACAATTTCCCATTTGTCCAGCAGCAAGTGATACATCAAGACTCGGAAGCTAATCGAGAACAACGGCCTATGCTTGTGAGACTATGCAGAAAAAGATGTCAATTTATTCCCGAAAGCCGAGGGAAAAGGCAGAGGCCTGCATGTCATCAAATGGTATATCGAATATTAGTTTTTGCAATTTGGGTCTTTCCCTGCTATATATTTTCCCTTTTTGTTTCTTCAAATCAATCTGATGTGCTTTCATGAATGCGTGGGCATCACAACGTGGGCCTTGGTGCTAATGGCATCTTCGCTGCGCCACAGGCTGGTCACGGTCTTCTGCTGGGTGTAGAACTGCAGGCCGGGCTTGCCGTAGAAGGTGTTGGCACCGCCACCGGCGATACTCTTCTTGTTGCCGGTGAAGGAGAACATGGGCAGAGGGACGGGGATGGGGACGTTGATGCCGACCTGGCCGGCCTCAATGTCCTTCTGGAAGCGCGAGGCGGTCGAGCCGGAGCAAGTGAAGACGGCGGCTCCGTTACCATACTCGTTCTTGTTGATGAGTTCAATGGCGTCGTCCAGTGTGGGGACGTTGAGGCAGACGAGGACGGGGCCGAAGATTTCCTCCTTGTAGCATTTCATTTCAGGCGTCACGTTGGTGATGATAGTTGGGCCGACCTACGCGGGCAATGGGTTAGTGAAAAGCGAAAGGGAAAGGATTTGATCATAGGAGGGTAAGCTTACAAAGTTGCCGTTGGGATACTTCTCAGGCTTATAGCCCCTGCCATCCAGAAGGATGGTGGCACCCTCCTGTTCGGCACTGGCGATCAAGTCTTCGATGCGCTTCTTGCTCTCGGGGCTGATGACAGGGCCGAGATCGGCACCCTCTTCGAAACCGCCGTTGACGTTGAGAGCCTTGGCTCGCTCCGCCATCTCGGGAAGCCATTCTTTGGTTTCTCCGACCATGACAACTGTGCTCAGGGCCATGCACCGTTGTCCAGCGGCGCCGAAGGCAGCACCGACGATGGCGTTCAGGGTCTGGTTCTTGTTGCAGTCGGGCAGCACCGCAGCATGGTTCTTCGCACCCAGGTTGGCCTGGACACGCTTACCATTGGCAGAGCCCCGGGTGTAGATGTATTCACCTGCATGGTTGCTACCAACGAAGCTGATTGCTTTAATGGCTGGCTCGTCGAGGATGAAGTCAACGGTCTTGGCAGAGCCGTGGACGATGTTGATCACACCCGGAGGAAAGCCGGCCTCCCGGGCCAGCTCAGCCAGAATCATGGCAGCCCCGGGGTCCCGCTCCGAAGGCTTCAGGATTATGCAGTTACCGGTAATCGTTGCGATAGGAATGCACCAAAGAGGGATCATTGCGGGGAAGTCTGGGGGGTGGAGGCGGTTAGTCACGGAGAAAGAACGGGGGTATCCACCGGACAAGCGGTGAAAGGCAAGGACTTACTGAAAGGGCAAATAGCTGCAACGACTCCCAGGGGCTCCCTGTAGCTTCTAGTCTCCATATCCTTGGCGACTTCGAGGACTTCGCCGGTCAATTGGGTGGTGATGCCACAAGCGGTCTCTGCAACTTGCAATCCGCGAAGGACGTCACCCTTGGCATCGGCAAAGGTCTTACCCTGCTCGAGGGTGATGGACGCTGCGAGACGGTCCCAGTTTGCACGGATGAGGTTGACAAACTTGAACATGATCTGCTGCCTGGCGATAATGCTGGTTGCCCGCCAGGCAGGGAACGCCTTTTCCGCGGAGGCAACAGCGGCACGTAGCTCCTCATCGGTGCTTTGAGGCACGCGGGTGACGAGATTGTTGGTAGCGGGATCATGGAGGTCAATCCATGTGGTTGCCTTGGAAGACAAAAACTCGTTATCAATGAAGTTGGTGGTATCAATGGGGTTGGCGATCGGCGTGTGATCCGTCGGGTATTCGGTGGCGGTTGTAGCCGCGGAAGTGGTTGCGGGGGCGAGCTGCTGCGCCGTGGCGTGTAGTCTGCGGGTAGCAACAAAGGACGATGATGATGTTGACATTGCTGCAGAAGCCCGCTGAGAAGACAATACTGAAGAAGAGGAGCCTGAGGAAGTCGACAGCGACCGCGCTGCGGATGAAGCTGCTATCCTGGCGGAAGAGACGGTGGCTACGGCCGTGCGGGGAGAAGCAGCGCGGAGAGCGGGGAGAGAACGAGCAAAGGACCGACTGGCGGCCATGACGAATAAACAAGGGTGAGGGTAAGGGAGGATTGCAGATGGAAAGCGTACGAAACTGGAACCTGGGGTCGATGAAAATCAAAAGGTCATAAGAGAGCTGGGGGGGGGGATAGAGCAGGATATAAGTCGAAAGTCAAAGGAAGGGAGCAGTTGTGGTGTTGGACGGATTCCGGGGTTATCTGCGATCCTGAGGCACGTCCAGCAGCGCCGAGGTCAACCGAACCCCCTTCGGCGAGGAAAACCAATCATAACGACAGGAATGGCTTTCCTGCTTAACCTTCTCCAAAGGCTAGGTTTATTCATCTCCATGGATCTGACTGAATCCAAGTGTTGTTCCAATACAGTGCTACCTCCACTTCTAATCTCCAACAAGATAATGAACATTGATAAGTTCCGTCAACGCTTATCTGAGTCTATCTTCTACTAACTATACCCTTCTCGCAGCCTATCTTTTAATCAGGACATACCGGTCCAGCTTTCGGTACTTAAACCGAGGGTCTGTCTGTATTACTTGCGGCACGGATAATGTGGCATCTTGACGGCCCACTATGGTTAAGATCTGAAATCTGATGAAATTCGCTATCTCAAATTGAATACTAGTTTACAGAATCCATCGCATCTACCACCCCCTTCGGAAGTTGGCAATGGTCTTCTTTTTTCATGTCTCGTCACAGGTGGCCTTCTTCCCTCGGGAAGTCTTGCCTTACCTACCATGAACAACCAAGGATATCAGAGTACAACGATAGTTTGAACGCTGCAATAAATATAAAATTGGGATCTTCGATGGCTCCTCTTCCATTTCAAGTTTGTCTTAACGGCTTATTATTCGCCCGTATCCTCCCCAAGCATTGGCACATCTGCCTTACTGGGCAGACGACCGGGTGTTACGCTTGGTAGCTGCGCCCTTGGCAGTGTCGGCCGCAGAGCTGACAGCTTCACTGGCCTTCTCCTTGGCGGCAGAGGCGGCCTCCTTTCCCTTCTTAGCGGCGGCGGCAGGGGCAGGGCTGCTGGCTCCAACAGCGCCCACAATGACGAGGATCATGGTCAGAAGGAGAGCTCCCAGACCACCGGCGACCTCAGGAACTTGCTTGACAGCGTTGATGGGATCTTGCTTGGCCAGACCCACGAAGTAGTCAACTTTCTCACGAACGTATGTCACTGGGTCCTCCTTGAAGCTGACGCTGGGAGTGGCAGCCTTCTCCTCAGGCTTGGGCTTGGAGGCTTCCTCCAGAGCAACTTCAACGGGGTGCTTGAGATCAAAGGTCTCCTTGCGGAGCTTCTCAGCATCTTCAATGGAGTGACCAATGTAGATGTTGTCGAAAAGAATGTCGTTCTGCATGGTCCAGATCTCGAAACCAACCTGCTCGCTTGTCAGAACGGAGCAAACAACTGCGGACACAGAATGAAGGAACTTACAGCGCCCATAGGCTCGAAGTTAGAAGGAGTCTTGTCCTCGAAGTAGGCGGGGTTGGGGATCTTGCGAGGCTTCCAGATGCCCTTGTAGGCGGGGTTGTCAATCAAAGGAGCGGTCCACTTGCCCTTGTAGGCGGGGTTCTTCTTCATGGGAGGAGTCCAGGGGCCACATCCGGAGACTTCGTTGCACTTGGGGTTAGGAACAGTAGGAGGAACCCAGTCACCATCCTCCTCGTCATCCCAGTCCTCGGGCTTCTCGGCCTCGGGATCAGGAATACTGGTGGGCTCGTCCTCAAGCCAGTCCTCGGGCATAGTAGCCTCCTCATCCACGATTTCATAAGGAGCGTCTTCATCCCAGTCGTCAGGCTTCTTGGCCTCCGGGTCGGGGATCTTGGCTTCGTCGACCCAATCGGCGGGCTTCTTGTCCTTGGGGTCGTCGATCTCCTTCTCCGGGTTGACAGGGGGGGCGAAGTCCTCAAGCAGGGTACCGTTCTTGACAGCCTCACCGTCAATCAGAATCTGGAAGGACTGATCGGGCTTGACGATCAAAGTGTACAACGTGGTGAGCTTGGAGGTACGAGCGGCAGGAGGCGCCGTCATGTGCTTCTCCTCGTATTCGCCGGTCTTGGGGTTCTTGTGACGGAAAATGAAGTGAACCTGAAGTATTGTAAGTGATGATTCGTAGAGGACCTTGCCTCGATAGCAAGGCAGTCATTTCATACCTTGTTGGTAGCACCGCACTTGTCGGGACCGAACATGATCACGTAGGGAGTCGCGTTGGAGAACTCCTCGGCGTGGAGCTTCTTGTTCTCCTGCAGGAGCTTCATGTAGGCACCACCGCAAACAAGGGAGTCTTTTTGGAGACAGGTGTCAGTACACTCCATGCAATTGCCAGGAGCTGATATGACCTACTCTGTGGCTTGACCTCATATTGAACAACCAGGGTCTTGCCCTTGTTGTCGATCTTCTTGGGGAACTTCGCAGAGATGGCATGGTGAGCCGCGACGTTCTTGACAACCAGACCCTTGTCGCCAACCATGCCGTTGAGCACGGTAGGCTCCTCGACAGCCCATTCACCGACGTAGGCCCAATCCTCCTCCGCCTTGGAGTCCTCCTTCTTGGCGTGAGAGGGGGTCCATCTCGAGTCCCAATCGGCGGTGAATTGCTCGAGGAAGGGAGCTTCAATGGTAGTAGGCTAATAGAGAGTCGATCCGTCAGCGATGCGGAGCGACGGTGGAGAATACTGGATTGACGGGTCGTTACTTACGGTGAAGGTAGGCTTCTCCACGAGCGAAGTACCGTCAGCCTTCTTCTCAGTCTCCTCAGCATGAGCTTGGCCCATCAACGTGGCCGAGGAGACGAGGGCGCCAGTGATAGCTGCGTTGAAACGCATGATGGACGATGACGGGATTGAGACTGCTAATACCCGAGAATCTCTGAATACAAATGATGGACAAGTAAGCAATCAGTTAAACAAACAGCGATTGAACCTCCGTAGAGGCAAACAGTAAGGTATTTTGTTGGGGGGAGGGAAGCTGTACCACCAGATGATCCACACAGAAGTAAGGGAAGGGGGGAGAAGGGAAGAAGAGGACAACTGGGCAAGAATAATTGTTATATACCTAGGAAGTAAGAAGGGATAGAGGTGAGGCCAGGTAAGACGGTCCACTGACTGACTGACTACACCGAGCAATTAGACGACACGAGCATTAAATATGCAAGTGACAAAGCAACAGTGCTTCCAGTGAGTGCCGGGAAGTTCAAGGTGGCCTCTTCTTTGCTTGAGCCTGGATTGCTTCTTGGGGTAAGGTCCCGCCTGCCTATTGCGGTTTAGCGGTGCTTCTCCAATGTTCTGTCGATAGCTAGAACGGATCTAGCTTTCTTGCACGGAGGAGTTGATGGATATCAGCTGTCAGACAGTGTCTAAAGCAAATTATTAGGAAGATCATGGACCTCAACTTACTTCTATATCATAATCCTAAGCTTGTAACAGATATTCTGCTCCTGTTATGTCCAGAATTGATCATGGATCATCCACGAGGAGTTTACCGCCTGGTCAATTGGACAATCTACTACGGATAAGGCAACGGAGATTGCGCGATAGAGTCCCCGCCAAAAATATTTCCATTCCCCGCGCAGCGCAACCACTTCATTGCTCCTCTATATATCCACCCTTCGGATTCCAATTACCCTTGTCTGGGTATCTCCTGAGTCATATTAACTCTTCTCAAGTGTAATTATTCGAAATCTATACCATTATCTCAGCAATCGACTGCGTAAACCTCCGTCTGTCATCAGCACAAGCTTGCAGCATGGCTCAAGAAGTTGAAAACAACAACAATGACCATCTGGTCCAGTCCTCTGACCCAGAGCACCCCGCCAACCTGATTCCTGAGCTCTGCCGCAAATTCTACAATTGGGGTTGGGTCACTGGTACTGGTGGTGGAGTGAGTAGCCGCGTTTTTGGTCGCGAAAGAAAACTGACGAGAGTATCAATTGATGCAGACTTCGATCCGTCGCGGCGACCATATCTTCATCGCACCTTCAGGAGTTCAAAAGGAATTGATTCAACCACACAATATCTTTGTCCTGGAGTTCCCTACTCCCAAATACCCTCCTTCCGACCGCAAGTACATCCGCAAGCCCCTCGAGCTGAAGCCGTCCGCATGCACTCCACTGTTCCTTACTGCTTTCGAGCGTGGTGCTGGCTGCTGCATCCACACGCACTCCCAGTGGGCCGTGTTGGTGACGCTCCTGGTCGAGCGCGAGAAGGGTCCAGACGCTTGCTTCGAGATCAGCAACATTGAGCAGATCAAGGGTATCCCTCGAGGCAAGGGGAAGGGCATGCTGGGCTTCTTCGACACACTTAAGATTCCTATCATCGAGAACACTGCGTTTGAGGAGGATCTCACCGGAAGCTTGGAGAAGGCCATGGACCAGTATCCGGACACCTACGCTGTCCTGGTGAGGAGACATGGAATGTGAGTCGTATACCTTCATGTTATACTGAGCCATTGAAGCTGATGAATGTATACAGTTATGTCTGGGGTGATGACGTTGCCAAAGCCAAGACGCAGTGCGAGAGCTTGGATTATCTCTTCCAGCTCGCTGTTGAAATGCACAAGCTCGGCCTTCCGTGGGTCAAATGAATCCTCAAGCCAGCGAATGACTATCGGGGATAAGGACATGGCTTAGGAATGGGGAGTCCATCAGCAGAATAACGACGAAGCATGCGATATGATGACTAGTGATGCACAGTGTATATGACGATACATGAAATTTGTCTATAGAAATTTGAGGACGTCTCGGCAGGATTAAAGACTACTTAGGTAGTATTGTTAAGCCGCGAAAATGTATAGCACATCTGAGATATTCAAGCCAGGCTCCGATCAATTAGGGTAATGCGAGCTCCATAAGTATCAATCATTTCTCGTCGAGAAATAATGGCATCAAAGCTCAACAGTAGCTTCCAATGCAACCCACCTAGGGAAGCCTTGGCGGGGAACCAGGCTGGGACTTAGTCGCAGGACGACCGCGCGGATCATCCGTTCGACTTCTACATACAATCCCCAGCTGTCAACTGCAAACGATAACCCCTCATCGGCTCTGGATCTTGTCCTCATTTCGAGTTTTTCCATACAGACTGTTAGTCTTATCGTCTCTGAAATATTAGCACCCATTGCTTTTAAACCATACTGCTATCATGGATCTGGACGCTGGAGACTCCCCGTGGGGCGGTAAGCAGGCAGCACAGTGTCACCACTCAACTCCAAATTGCCCTCTCTGATTGTAAGCATAGATGTGCCCTCGCAGTCAAGTCATGGTACACAGAGAGCGGAAACTGAAGAAGTCGGTATGGTCACCCGCGGTATTGCATACCGCGCACTCCTCTTGCCGTCCTGAGACATGAGCTCATCGCTTCAGTAGCACCGGACCGATCAACGCAACCAGTCAGCCCAAGCGCTACCCGTTCACCTGTTCGACGAAACCCACGAGGTGCTCGCAAAATCAGCGCGCAGGCCACCAAGCTGGAGGCCGTGGATGACACCGTAGATCCGCTGGGCCCGCTCGGAGACAAGCCCACCGACAGTCTCGCTCCCGTCAACGAGCAAGCACCGACACCGCCCCAGAAGGAGCCTTTTGCAGGTCGCGGTGCTCGTCCGACATCATCTACATCGCAAACATCTAGTGCTGGTGGGTTGGGAGACTCGGTACATCTGGAAGAGGATGGTGCGGGCTTCAGGGGACCGCCCCCTGTACAGCCCCCAGCAGACGCGGACGGGGCGAAGAGGCAATCTCAGCCCAGTGTCAGCATTGAAGAGGCTGCCAAGCCGACATTCGAAATCACAGTGGGTGATCCGCACAAGGTGGGAGATTTGACAAGTAGCCACATCGTGTACCAAGTTCGAACGAAGGTAACCTCCCCTCTCTACATTTCCATTCATGCATGGGACGCAAGGCACTGATACGCAGTACAGACAACATCAAAGGCGTACCGACAACCGGAGTTTACCGTCAGCCGCAGATACCGCGATTTCTTATGGCTCTACAATTCCATGCACAATAACAACCCCGGTGTTGTTGTGCCTCCCCCGCCTGAAAAGCAAGCTGTTGGCCGTTTTGACACGAACTTTGTCGAGTCTAGAAGGGCTGCACTTGAGCGCATGCTCAACAAGATTGCGGCACATCCTATCCTGCAACATGATGCGGATTTGAAGATATTCCTGGAAAGTGAATCGTTTAATATGGATGTCAAGAACAAGGAGAACAGGGAACCGGATCTAGGTCAAAACAAAGGAATGTTCAGCTCCTTTGGAATTAGCGTAGGTGGGGGTGGAAAGTTCGTAGAACACGATGATGTGAGTCCCTTGTGGTTTGCATACAGTCACGTCATTAAGCTAACTCGAGTCGAATAGTGGTTCCACGATAGGAAGATATACATGGACGCGCTGGAGAATCAGCTCAAAGCTTTGCTGAAGGCGATTGATGTCGTGGTCGCGCAGCGCAAGGGATTGGCAGAAGCGGCTGGCGATTTTTCGTCTTCTCTTCACGCTTTGGCGGCTGTCGAGTTGTCTCCCGCCCTTTCCAGTCCATTGGACGGACTTTCAGAACTGCAGTTGCGCATCAAGGAACTTTATGAGCGCCAAGCACAGCAGGATGTTCTGACACTAGGAATCACCATCGATGAGTACCTTCGCATCATCGGGAGCGTCAAGACTGCTTTCTCTCAGCGACAAAAAGCCTTCCATAGCTGGCACGCGGCGGAGTCAGAGCTGCAGAAACGGAAGCATACCCAGGAGAAGCTGCTCAGACAAGGAAAGACGCAGCAGGATCGCCTCAATCAAGCCAACGCCGATGTGGCGGACGCGGAAAGAAAAGTGCACCAGGCCAGGCTCTTATTCGACGACATGGGCCGTTTGATGCGTAATGAATTGCAGAGATTTGAGAAAGAAAAAGTGGAAGATTTCAAGTCTGGCGTCGAGACATTCCTGGAAAGTGCAGTGGAAGCACAGAAGGAGGTGAGTTCTACCTAGCTAGTCAAGCTTCTGATCAGATTCACTGATGAGCCTCGCAGTTGATCGAGCTGTGGGAGACGTTCCTTTTGCAGTTGGATGCTGGTGAAGAGGGTATCCCCTTCTTTGCGCCTCCTCCTGTTGCAACCAATGCTCCTGCGCAACAGGCTACAGACGAAGCCAGCGGTACAGCCCCGGTCGCTGCGGAGGAGACGGCGTAGCTCAGCCTGGGCTAGCTCCTGACCTTTTCTCGCCATGTATAACTGAATTGCGATTCTTTGGCCTAGTTTGATCCGGATCTACGTATTGCTTTGCTGGCGAGCCGCCAGTACCCTTACCGTACTCACTTGTTCTACTCGCGCTGAACACGCAACCCAGATACCGTTCGAAGCGTAGTATGATTGATGCTTTATCTGTACCCGATCCTTTCTAATGTTTCTGTCGGGTCTTCACTCTGTTGCCTGCCGTGTAAACTATATCCGACTCCTTCGGGCCTTGATAGAAATGACATGTTCAAGGTCCAATTCAAATGGTATGCTGAAATCCCTTCAGATGGTATGATGTACATGTACACAGGCCATAAAACCGACAATATGAGTAAAACAATCAGTGGAGCCAGAAAGAACATAAAGAAATCTCTCCATACAACATCAAAGGTGGCCCTCCTCCGTCAACGAATCATAAATCCCAGATGAAGATTGCGTTGAAGCCATCCGCCCTTCCCTGCGTATCATACACTCAAATCCCCCTAGCCTCCGCCCCAAAAAGATCAACCTATTTCTTCTTCTTCGGAGGTTCCTGCTCCATCTCCTGTCCAAACGAACTAATCAGGTCAAGCAAATTGTCGTCTTCCTCCTCTGCCAGCGCGGCCTCAGCAGCAGCAGCCGCATCAGCATCAGCCGCCTCCTTGCCCTTAGCGGCGACCTTGGTATCCGTCTCTCCTTCAACAGGCGTATTCGCATCCCAGCTCCGACCAAACTTGGCTCTGAAGGCAGCGAGTCGACCGGCTTCGTCCTCCTCGACGTTCATCAGCTTGCTGGACGAGGGGTTCCAGAGCAGCGAGTTGCGCGTGTCTCGGGTCGAGCGGTAGACGGGTGTCGGGGACGTCGTGCGGTGTGTGAAGGTGCTGCCGTCGGAGAGGGTGATGAGCTGCGTGAAGGTGTAGGGGCGCTTGGGGCGCCGGAGTAGTGTGGCATGTCGACATTGCGAGCAGATATAGGTGGTGGATGTCTGGACTCTGGCGGTAGTGACCGCGCTGCGGCGGAGGGGGATGTGGATTGACATTTGTGTTCGCTGATAGAGAACCCAGGGATGTAGCGTGAGGATAGTTGAATTCCTGGTTCTGAGTTGAATTGGGTAGCACGAGCACTGTTGCGATGGTTATCGGTCGATGGGTTTTGGCCGAGAAATTTCGCGGATTGTTCACGGATCTGGGGTTATGTAAGCAGTAAACCTCCGCTCTTTTTCTCGTCGTCCCGCGGCCGCGGAGGTTTCTGGGTGGATATGATCTGCTGCCGAAGTGATGATGGCTATCAATTGAAGGTTATCGAAGGATTTGCTGGGCTTTCAGGATGAGTCTTAAGAGACTTTATGGTCTTTTCTCTGATCGTTCCCTCGTGCATTCGCCCTGAGCTCCACTCGTCGAGAGCTTCATCCGCTCTCCCATCGGCGGGATGAAGCTGCCATATTCGCTATCCGTACTGTCGGCTATAAATATCAAAGTCGGTATGGAAGATTTGCACTAATTCCTTGCAGTTCATTGTCTAACTAAATATGATCAGAACAACAATCTATACTCGCTCTACCTAACCGACTGTCCAACTTCCCCGTCCGGTGCGGAGCACCTCAGCAACCATGGCCTCGCAAACAATACGGGACTTCAGCTCCAGCTTCGCAAGCTAGCAGTGAACCCAAGAAGCCGGCATCAGCCCGCCCTGCGCTTTCGTTGACCGACCAAGTCCGCCTGCTCATGCGCCGTGTACCCTACCCCGTCGCCATCATCACAGCCACAGATCCGCAGGGCCCCATCGAGAAAGCTTTCCGCGGCATGACCGTCTCCTCCTTCAACACGGTTACCCTCCATCCCTTGCCCGTCATCTCGTTCAACGTGCGCCGCCCATCAGAGACCCTAACCGCCCTCCAGTCCTCAGGCCGGTTCCTCGTCCATCTCCTAGCCCCCACCCCAGCAACCGCAGCCCTGGCCCGGGATTTCTCCAGGGGAAACCACAATCTGGCACTCCTAAGTGGAAAGGGAGACTTTGAATTCGCGCAGCATGTTTCTGCCGACGGGTCCGTTACGAGACCGCTCCCCATCCTGCGACGGAGAGCCATCAGCCAGACAAACACCGAGGAGAGCGTCGAGGACTTCCCGTTTGTGTTCGAGTGTCAGCTCAATCCACAGTGTGTGGAGGTCTACGACCACACAATCATCGTTGGGACCGTCGTGCAACCGCTCTTCAGGCATCTTCCTGAATCAGAGGCGGAGACGTCAGTAACGTCCGGCTCTGCAAAGGATTTATGCCTGATATATGCCAATACCAAATTCTGGGGAATGGGCCATGAAATATAACTACTGAAACCTAGAGTATGGGTTTCAACTGGGACCCATGATTCTGCCCGATCCCATATAATTGCTTCCTGCTGTCGGCTGACAGGTGAATCCAATCTATCAAGAGGGCGGTGTGTTATTCAAGATTTGCACCGCATATACAGATTTTTGGCCATTTTGTACATAGAATTCCCCTTATACGTAAGAGGGAAAAGGAGCCACCTATCGAAAAGACGCGGAAAGAAATGTACAGATTATCTTCCTTTCACACCTTTGCAGGTTGACGGATCTGTAGCGTTGGATTTGTAACCGAGTTTACGCTAGCATATCACTCACTGCCGACTTCCGATACGCAGATCCTCTACGACAGATTGATATTGGGCATTTTAGAACGATCAAGTGAGGGCAAATGGTAGGCTTTTTAATTCATTTTATCCAAGAAATCTACACAGGATGAAGGACGCAGGATCGAGTTCTCAGGCGACGGGAATTGAGCGGAGCACTAGAAGTCGGAGAGAACTAAGAATCCCCTCGACATCAAGCACCACGTCACTCCGAGAGAATAACGCAAGCAGAAATTGGAGACCGAACACACGCAACCAGGAGTATTCCTGGGATCCGCACAGAAGACTCCGCTAAAGTCTCTTGAACCAGCCCATGTCCTAGTTGGTTTTACCGTACACAGAGCTAGGACTGCCGCTTCCGCTACCACTTCCACCACTTCCATTGCTTCCGCTACCGCTTCCACGGCTACCCGCCCGTTGAAAAGGGCTGGAAACAGGTCTCAAGCCCGAATTCAGAGCGGTATTGCTATCGGATCCCGGGCTTCTCTTGTCAGCAAGCAGCTCAGACAAGTCGAGCTGGAAAGGCTGACGACGACTCGAGTCCATGAAGTCAGAGCCATAAAGGCTGCTTCGGGCAGACCGGTTCGAGAAAGATCGGTCACGATAGACAAAGTCCGAATCGAGGTGAGAGCTTGCATTGACGAGGGGGGAGGTCGGGAAGTTGAGGTACGACGGCTGCTGCACTGGACTCGTGGGGTGAGAAGATGACGCACCAACCGGAGAAGACGCGGTCTGAAGGGGACTGGACTTCAAAGGCGGGAAGCTGAGCCCTAGCAGTGATCTGTTGCTCGGAGCAGTCGATGTCAATGCGCCCAGTGGCAAGGCAGACTCGGAGAACGGGTTCGTCCCGGGCAGATTACCCTCGGGGGTCAACGGACCAGGATCCAAGAGCATCTGCTGGTGTTGCTGCTGGATGGCTTGCTCGATAGCGTCACATTGTTGCCAGATTTGTTGCGCGCGTAACTGGTACTCTTGCACAGACTGCCCAATACTGGCAAACTGCTCGTTGAAAGTCGCTTCGAGTTTTGCTTGGTCCTGCTCTCGGGCAAATTGTTCTGCTGCGCGACGCTCGCGCTCATTGAGCCCTTGCGCATTAGCAGAGACAATCCTCTCATATTGTTCGTTGATCCTAGTACGGCGGCTTTGAAGACGCTCCCGCCTCTGGATCGCAGAGCTCAACTCAGTTTCCAATGAGGAGACTTCACGGGCAACAGCGGACCGAGCAGAGGCGAGTTCCTCCTTTGCCGAATTGAGCAGACCCAGCTCGTGTTCGTATTTAGCTTTCTGGTCCGACCACTTTCGAAGTTCTTCGTCGGGGACATTCTCCAGGTTGTCAAGCTGATCCTCAAGCAAGGCAGTGGCCTCTTCCGTTTGCCGAATGTTCCTTTCCAGTTGCAGCGAGCGTTGTTTCTGCCTGTTTTCATCTGTTCCGCTGTGTAGACGATGGTTGTAATTGTCAAGCTCCTTCCTGATTTTGGAAATGACAAGCTTGTGATCGTTCTTGGCCTTTCTGAGCCGAGACCGCTTCTCATTCAACTTGGCTTCGGCGTTGACAATAGAGTTCTTCAGCGTAGTCGTTGGGGATGAAGGACGATACGACGGCTGCGGTGGGGTTGATACCGAAGAGACTGCTGCTTTGAAGAGTTAATAAAATTTTCCAATGTGTGAAAGATCCACAAAAGGCCGTTCTTACCTTGTTCTGCATCATTGGTCGCAGGAGTTTTGACACTAATGACACATATCTCCTCATCGGTATCGCTCCGCACAAACGAGCAAGTGTAAGCACAATTGGGGGCCAGACCAGAAATCTCGCCCCGCCAATGTACCATACTTGATCCTTTCGGTGCATCGTGCACTTTGCATATTGTAGCGGTGGCCCAAAGAGCTCCATTCACGCACACGTAGAACGGTTCCATATCCTCGCTCCCCAGACATCCAGCTTCGCAGGCTCCCGAACCGCTCGAATCATCCGCCGAAGAAAAATCACCAGCCGCGAATTTTATCGTTGAACTGTCGATTTCCGTAATCCATACAAGTCCATCGTCCAGGGAAAGTCCTTGAAGATCATCCTCGGTCATGGGAAGACCGCGAGCCGTCTTCGACAAAGCCCTAGAGTGTTCATACTCTCTCATGACGGTTATCTTTGTGCTTGCCAGTGCCGCCCAAAACGGTTGACGACTCCGCACCTGATTTGCCTGTCTCCTGCGTTTCTTCGCCGAAAGTAATCGATCCCTACCATCCTTGTGCGCTGCCGGAGTGACAATTTGCCCATCAGCACCGATATATGACGAAACACTGGCCCCTGACTCGAAGGCAGAGTCGATTTGTGTCTGCGAGCCGGCGGACGCTTCCGTATCGATGCGCTTGCCTGTACGAGGAGGATTAGGCGTTCTGTTCTTCGCCATTGACCGTCTCGCCATGGCGGTGCCGGCTTGGGCCAGTATATGAACTGCGAGTAGACTCCGAAGCCAGCTCGGCGACGTCTGTGGTTCAGTGCGTCGAAACTCAGTAGGCAAAAGATGCGAATATTGCGACAACATATCGGGACTGATGATGTTCGAGGAAAGAAGATGACCTATAACAAAATCCTGTATACCTTTGCTCCGTACAAGGTGCATTATCAAAACTATACCAACACAGAGGGTGTTCACCCCCCCGTTTTTTCCAAATCCTCCTCCACCCAGGGTGATGGCAACTTGAACGTGGGCCAAGTCCAGCGCGAAATTCTGCGCCCAGGTCCACATGAACAAGCCCCATATGAGTAGACAGAATCCATCCATCGCAATCATTGTACCGAGGGAAGGAGTTCCGGCAGGGCCTTGAAAGATGTCGAAATTGGACGTCAAGGAACCGGCCGACGCACCACTAGGAGGCAAGAAGGTCAAAGAGGCGAACAAAAACTGAACCAGAGTGAGAACCATGGGCGGAAGTTGGAGCAGAAAGATCAAGATCGCGATCGTGTCGTACATGGGGCACGATTTGAGAATGGTCGACGCGAGTTGGAGAGGGTTAATAGAGGCATTCGAAGGCGACCTCTTGTTACCGGTCGCCGACTTCTCAGTACGACGCGAAGCCGGTCCTGCAACATCGCCACCGGTCTGCGAGGCGACACCATTGTTCTGCACATACGACATGTCGGTATTGCCCTTGGCGTATCCGTTCAAATGATCAGGCGCATTGCAATCACCCTTGGAGCTATCCGGCGTTCCGTTGAGCTTGGTCGATGTTGCGGTCGTTGTGGGGATGACCGGATCGCTGGAAGAGCGAGACGACGGCAAATCGACTTGAGAGGAGGAAAGAGAACTGGACGCGGAGCCGCCGTTGAGATTACCGTTTAGATGTCCATTGGATTTCTGTTTGGCCACTTTTTTCCCTGTATTTGCGCTGCCATTCTCATGCCGATTGCTATGACTCTTCCTAGCCGTAGCCGATGAACGTGGCATCGACAGAGGAGCCTAACACCCAGGTCCGAGTCAGCTTGGCAGATTAAAGCCAAGGACTTGGACCAGGCAGGTGAGTGAAGACGTAGACAATTTTGAAGGAAAGAGGAAAATGAAGGAAGGACGACTTGGAAGGGCGAGCAGGAAGGAAGAATGGCGATATATCAGGTTGGCAATATGTGCGGGAGCGGGATGGAAAGGAACGACAAGAGGGGTCTCGCAAAGGCGGTAGAGGAGACTAATGGTAAATGAATAGGAAAAAGGAAAAGACAAGACAAGACAAGACCGTAGAGAAGGAGGATGAGAAACTGAGGGCTGAGATAGCGTGGCGGGAGGGGCGGGTTTGGAGAGAATGGTAAGGGAAAGAGGAAGGGAAAAGAACGGAGGTTTTTTTGGTTTGGTTTTCTCGGAATCTGGATAGACGAAACGAGGCGGGAAGAGAGAGAGAGAGAGAGAAGCCTCGTAGGAAATCTAGTCTACCCTTTTTACCGTAGGAGTCTAGTTCACAGGAAGGTTGGAACTGATCGTCAGAACCGGACCAGAAAAAGAAAGAAAAGAGAAGACGATTGAGCCAATGTAAGCCACTCAGCCAGATTTGCTACTGGAACTTTGGGAGAGAAAAAGGACCCTCAGCCCAAAGGCAGTAAGGCTTCCGCGTCTACTAAGCACCAGAAGGGTAAAGGTCTGCGGCCTGAGGCATCAGTCATATGGCACTTGCTTCACCAGTTGGCGTGTAATGTTGGAAATACGCAATACAGTACAGCAGATCCCAGGCGGCCGGATTATAGATTACAGTATCACCTGACCAGATGGGCTGATGGAAGAGCAAACCAAGGCAGCGTTTCATTCCGGTTGGCTGCCGAGGTTTGTTATTTTTGGGATCTTCAACCAGAGATGGAGTCGATTGCCGGTACGGAGTATGTCTTGTCGTACTCCTGCAGAAGGAATGAATTTGGGCCAAAATGGCACTATTTCAAACTGACATATTCTCATTACTCTCATTTGTTCATATTGTGGCTGTGTTATGACAAGTCAATCTACATAAACAGATCTGCCTATTTTACTCCGTGCTGCATAACGCTTGTTTCAAAATGATTACGACGGTAACGGGGTAAGCTTCTTCTAGCTTGGCGGTTATCCGATAAACTCCTGCAAGTTTCAACACTCCCGTAATATTTCTATAATCAACCTCAAAAACACATAGATATTCAGGGTCTAGAATCCGTCCAAGACGAGC